ACATCAGCAGCAGCAGAGACAACATCGGCAGCAGCAAAGACAACATCGGCAGCAGCAGAGACAACATCGGCAGCAGCAGAGACAACAACAGCAGCAACATCGACGCCAATCGCTGGTTCTTCAACGGCACCAATCCCCATCGACAATACACCACCGACACCTGCGCAGCAGCTAAACCCAGCACCACGAGAAGTCCACCGAAGCGCCAACGTCACCGCCGGCTTCTACTCCAACTCCGACATGTACCGACGCTCACCCGGACATCGCGCCGACGAAAGCACCTGGCACGCAAGGATGGGACACCCAAGCAACACAGTGTTAAACAACACGATAAGAGCAGGAGTGCTCGACAAAGATTCACTACTACTGCACGACGGCCGAGAACTCCAACGAGTCAGAGGAACATGCTTTACCTGCCCTGAAGCCGACTTACCACATCAGCCGTTCGTCTCTCACCACAACCCGAGCGCACCAGCTTACACGCCACTCGAGAAGGTGTACGGCGATATTATGTACAATCGCGCACCCGGACAAGGTGCATACAACTCCACCATCACGTTCATCGATGCCGCCACTCGCTACGTCCGGCATCTCAATCTCCCAAGCAAGGACATGGCCTTCGAAGCCTTCGTCGCCTGGCTCCCTGTCGTAGAATGAGAATCAGGCGTGAAACTCAAAAGCTTTCAGTCAGACGGAGGGGGAGAATACACCTCACAAAGGTTCAAGCAGTACTTGGCAGAAAGAGGAATCAAGAGGCTCATCTCCCTCCCCTACGCCCATCAACAGCAAGGCGTAGCAGAAAGGATGAACATGACCTTGCAGAACACCATGCGCAAACTGCTACGTGGCATGCGGCTACCCAACCACCAGTGGCCCGAAGCAATGGACCACGCCGTCACGCTGCACAACTTGCTTTCTTCATCGTCACTACCGAACAACGCATCACCGCACCTGCTGTGGACAGGAAAAATGGGAAGCACAAAAATGTTACGAGTTTTTGGGTGCATGGTACAGTACCGACCCCCAGCTGCACGAAGCGGCTGATTCTCCCAACGCGCACAGTGGGGGCTACACCTGGGCATCGAAAAGAATTACAACGCGTGGAAGATTTTCGACGTCCACTCGAAGGAAACAGTAGCAGCACGTGATGTCATCTTCTACGAACGACTCACACTTCCGACGTACCTTGCCAACCTGGAAGAAGATCGGGATCCCACAGGTGGCTTTCGTGGCGACCGAGCCTTCGCCTCGGCAGAAGACGAAGCTGACTGGGACGAGCAGAACGTGGAAGGAGCCTCGGAAGCAGCCGGACCTCTCCCTTACTGCTCAGTCGACGTACCGATGGACGAAGAAAATCCTCGCGAAAGCATCAACGCCGAAACCTACTACCACTTCGCCGACAACGGTTACGTTACACCTGCACAAGTCAACACCAACAAAGCGGAACGGGTAAGACCAAATTTCATTCCTGATCCAGAAGCGGGAGACGAAGCAGTCTATCCCGAGGACACAACACTCCCCCGCTACACACAGAGTGGACTCCAGATACTTGGGCTCGTCACCGCAGTCCACGGCATAGCGATCCCTAAAGAGCCTGCCACAGTTCAGCAGGCTCTGGGGGGGGAGCATAGGGAAAAATGGCGCGAAGCCATGGACAGGGAACTAAAAGCACTGGAAGAACGCAACACTTGGAAGGTCGTTCCTATCGGCGTGGCGCGAAACAAGACGATACTCACCGGGAAGTGGGTCTTCCGTGTGAAGACAACGGCAGACAACACCATCGACAAGTTCAAAGCGCGCTGGTTTGTACGCGGCTTCGACCAAGAACATGGACGCGACTTCACTGAAACATTCGCTCCGGTCAGCCGACACACCTCGCTACGAATTCTCCTCGCGATTGCCGCCATGAAGAAGAAGAAGCTACGGCGAATTGACGTCGCCAACGCATTCCTCTACGCACCTGTCGACGCAGAGATTATCGTCGAGTTACCACACGGCTCCAGCACGGACTCCAACCACGTCTGCCAGCTGCTCAAGTCGCTCTACGGCATCAAGCAAGCTCCTCGACTATGGCATCAATACCTGCACGCTTGCCACATTCGCATCGGCTTCAAGCAACTACCGCACGATCAAGGCATGTACCGGCTCACGAAAGGCACCGACTACATCCTGCTAATCGTCTATGTAGATGACCTTCTCTACATCGGCTCAACCGACAGCGTCACTACCTGGTTCGAAGGGGAGCTGCAGAAGGACCTCACCCTCACAGTGTCATCTACCGTTACGCAGTACCTCGGCCTCAACATACAGGAAGAAGAAGACGCAATCTACCTCAGCGCCGCGAAATACGCCGACACCATCGCCAAACGCTTCGCTCTCACACCAATGACCATCTCCACGCCATACCGCTACACGGCAGGAAACAACAAGGAAGGATCCGCTCCACTAAAACCCGCCGGCATACCCGACTACCAGAGAAAGCTAGGCTGCCTCCTCTTCGCAGCTGTCACCTGCCGTCCGGATCTATCGTACTCAGCAACTCAGCTCGCTACTTACCTCAAGAAGCCTGAAGCGGAACACATGGCGGAGCTCGATCGCGCTTTTCACTACCTCGTTACCACTCCGACGATCGGCCTGACCTATCACAAGAACGGGACTACAGCACCTAAGCTAATCGGCTACGTCGACGCCGATCACGTAGGCGACTCCGACAACAGACGCTCGCACACAGGCTACATCTACCGCTTCGAGCCTATCGGGCCTATCTCCTGGCAGTCGAGCAAGCAGGAATTAATCGCCCTCTCTTCAGCAGAAGCAGAATACATCGCACTCTGCTCAGCCACCAAGGAAGGATTGTACCTTCGCGAACTCCTGGAGGAAGCCAAGCTAGCCGAGTTACCCAACTTCACCCTGTTCTGCGACAACCAGTCGGCAATTCGCATAGCCAACAAGAACGGCTTCGCAAACAGGACGAAACACATCGCCCTACGATACTTCTTCGTGAAGGACGAGATCGAGAAGGGGAGACTCGAGCTGTCATACTGCCCCACGTCCGAGATGGCAGCTGACTACTTGACCAAGAAGCTCGGAAAGCAGAAGTTCGAGTACTGCATGCTGCTGACTGGACAAAGCCACGTCATCAGCAGCGACACTCCAGAAGCGAAGGGGAGTGTTGGAAACAATTAATTTAAGCGCCTCTGTCGTGTCGAAACACCAAGCCAGAAGCAAAGCGAAGTATATCGAAGCACCGGCGAGACAACCCTCGGAGGTTGAGCAGTTGCTAGAGGTTGCGCGAAAGTCAAAGGTCAGCGACCTTTGACCTGACAAATACAGCGCGACAGCAAGGACACACAACTGACTCGCTACAGAGCAGTTGCCCGAGTCGTCATTGTATCGAACCGCAACAGCAACAGTAAAACAGTTATAATTGTATCCTTTCATATTCCTTGTACTCTTATAAAAGATATGTATCTCTTTGTTTAATCAATCTACTTTGCCCTCACATACCAGCGCAAGGTGGTTCAAACACTTCTCATTAAAAGCTTCCGCTATTACAGCAAGTTGCATCTAGAGTTCAGCCCTGGAAAGATCCTATGGGCTTTCTCAGCCCAACAGTTATGAAATTTGAGAAAGGAAAAAAGCAAGGGACATCGGCAATGTAAGGTGCAGCCATTAGTTTGATATAAATAACCACACTTATGTATGCTAAAGGAAGTTGTATAAAATCAGATAACAATATTTCTGACAGGAAGAAATAGTTTAGGTACAGTGAACAGTATATTATGCATGTGGGATTGGATGAGAATGGAGAATTGCACAAGTTTTAAAATTTGTACTCTATATTGAACCTAAGTAGACTCCACAAGTGCGTAAGGCGGTGAGGTGCATATGGAGGACGAACGTGGCGAGTGCTGTCAAGTGCTGTCGAATCGAAACCACTTTCTTGCAACCGTCAACAGTATTTGATCCGAGCTGGAAGGCCTGCTACTGTGCGTTGGACGCCACCACATCAGCTTCAACCATTCAGAGTCGAAGGCTCCAGTAGCTGCGCCACGACAGGGAAAATGCAGCCGCGGGAACGGGCACTGCCATGACACGCAGATCCTGCTGGTGGTGAAATGCACAACCTCTACAGGAGCTTCGTGTGCCGAGCTGCCATGTGCTAGATGCAGGTTTGGTGGCTTGGTTGCGCAAAAATATTTCTGCTTCGGAGTTCCTCGTGGGTTTGGAAGTCTTCCGGGCAGAACCACCTGCTATCCGTCAGATAACAGCAGCTGCATAAATGCCCGCCATCCTTCTCCTCCTATTTGGCCGCAATACACATTCTATACAGTCCGCTTCATGACACTAATCGATAAGTATTACGCTTATCTAGGACTGCAAAGAAACGCCAAAGTAGCAGCTTTCGGCATTTTGTGGAACGCTCTAGTTGTATCAAGAGGTATGAAGTGCGTTACCCATTGTTTTGATTTGGTCTACTTCAGACAACGCAGAAACAACAAACAACCACGCACATGTCATTCTGTACATGTCATACTGTACCCAAACACGACGTTTCGCGGCTTGTCGAGTGGAATGTGAGGAGGGACGGAATTGCGCCGAAGCTCCAAGTGCGCGCGCAAATGCGAAACGCCTTGCCACACCCCAAACCAACCACCAAACCAAACCCCCTATCTCCTCACCTTCTCCCCAACAACCTCCCCCAAAGATAGGAGAGTATTTCAACCTCAGAATCCCTCCCCAATCAATTCACATTTTTATAAGGTAGTTTGTTTCCCGCCCCGCTGCCACAATCTGTGGTAGTAACTCCAGCATATTCACTGCGCTACCGCTTCCTTCCCAGCAAGTGTTGTCGCGTCGCAACGCCTCATTCAGTGCTTTCTCACTTACAACTTCTCTCGAGCATGGGTCTGGAATCTGGAATGACGGAGAGCCGGATGGTCCATCCCAAACACCTCATCGCCGACGCGCGCCCCCTCGGTCTCGCGGGTTTTGCGGCGATGACCTTCGTTCTATCAGCTCACAATGCCGGTTCGTGCCAACCACAATCCTCTTGTTTTCGCGGTTTCATTCACACGAATTTACGCACACATTTGAAAACTCCAAAATGCAGAAAGCATCCAGCATAGTATTCTCATAAAAGGAACTTCACCCTGACATTTCAGCCTGGCAAATCTAACATTTTTCCTTTAATGGCGCAGGCTGGGCCCCTGACACCATCTGGATCGGCATGGCGTTCTTCTACGGGGGATTGGGTCAGTTTGTAGCGGGGATGTGGCAGTTCAAGCGCAACTGCACCTTCACCGCGACTGCCTTCTCCACCTATGGTTGCTTCTGGATGGCCAACGGTCTCTTCCACATCCTTCTGCTGCTCGGACTGGTGAGCCCTTGTCATGTCTACAGTTCATATACTATCGTATGCTTGTCTTTGATTATCGCATGCGACATTGTAGTTGAAGTAGGAAAAATGCGAAACTTTTATTCGCAATGGCGACACGGGGCTTAAGTTGCGACAAACGACCTGCTTCTCCAGGCAAACGTATCTCTCCAGAGCCTCTAATCGCTCCCAATTCCATTCGTGTTTAAAAAACGCGCGCCGTCGGCGTGGCGCCCGTCGTCTTTTCCGAGTGTCATCCCTCTTTTCTCCCGATCGCTTCTCTCATTCCGCTTTCTCCTCATTCCCCCCCATTTCTCCCCTCTCCCCCTCCCCCTCCCCCCTCCCCTTCCCCTTCACCCCTTTCTACTCCGCCCACTTCCGCAGCTTCCCCCCGCGTTCGAGGCGAGCGAGTCGCTGGCATGGTTCCTGACGTCGTTCCTCATCTTCAACACGTACATGTGCGCCGCGTCGCTGCTCATGCCGCTCGTCGAGGTGGTGGTGTTCCTGCTGCTCGAGCTCACGCTCTTCACGCTCATGGTCGGCCACTTCAAGGGCCAGAAGGCCGGCGCGTCCGGCTCCTGGACCATGGCGGGCGGGTACATCGGCGTCATCACCGCCGTTGCTGGTGAGTTGGGGACGGAGGGGATGCGGGGGACCGGGGAATGGGGGAGATGGAGGGGACGGGGGGGTACAAGTCTTGAGACGTTTCGAAGGCCTGCGCGTCGGCCTCGTGGGCCATGGCCGGCGTGTACATTGGCGTCATCACCGCCGTTGCTGGTGAGCCGGGGATGGAGGGGATGCGGGGGCGCGGGGAGATGCGGGAAGGCATGGGGAATGCGGGGATTTGGGGGTTTTAGTGAACTGGGGGATTTGGGGGAAAAGGAAGAAGACGGGAGCCTGGGACCTGCTTTGGGGAACTCCCCATAGCTTGCCTGGTGGTCTGGGCTCCAGATCTGGGCAAATCTCGTGTGCCCTTTTGTATATTTTGACCGACATTCTGCTGGTGCTAATCTAGATCAATGATGGTGATGCTAACGTGCTGCTTGTGCTAATCGACCTTCGCGGCTGTGCCTCATTTGTGTGTGTGCGTCTCAACAGCCTTTTACTACTCCATGGCTTGCTGTATCAACACTATGTTGAAGCGCCCCACTGTGTTTGTGGGGAAGCCACTTATATCGAGCCATGATAAGGAGGAGGCTTTGTAGAAGACCCAGCTGGGAAGTTAGCACAGCAGCACAACCGATCAGCATGGTTGTCAAAAAATTTCCATGTTGGGTGTAATTTCAGCATAGTGGCACATGGGTGTGCTTATAGTGTAGTTTCGTCAGTTATGGTTATTCATATCCGAAAATGATATGTATATCCTCTAGTGCTGCAAACGCTGCAATTCCTACAGAAGCCCCACATACCATCAAATGGATTCTTCAATACCGCAAACCAGCAACAAAAGGTAACTGGCCATATGCAACCCTCCTGTGCTACGGTAAAAATGGTCTGCACTGCTCCCTCCTGCTATGGTAGAAAAGGTCTGTACTGCTCCCTATCACTCCTCCCTACAATGGGATAAGTTTTTACGGTAGATTGGATGCACTGCTCCCTCCTGCTATGGTAGAAAAGGTCTGTACTGCTCCCTATCACTCCTCCCTACAATGGGATAAGTTTTTACGGTAGATTGGATAAGGGAACATTCCTGTGGTTCAGCTAATGCGCCGTGGACAGCACAGCACAAGCTCTAGTGCCTCTAGTGCATCTAGTGTACGGTATATCCTCTAGTGTTTCTAACACTGCAATTCCTACTGAAGCCACATATACTGACATGGATTCTTCATTACCGCAAACCAGCTACATAGAAGTAATTGGGCCTATCCAATCCAATCCTCTTGTGCTACAGTAAAAACTGTCAGCACTGCTCCCTCCTGCTATGGGGAAAACTGTATATGGATTGCAACCTATCACTCCTTCTCCCTCTCCCTCCCCTCCTGCTGTCCAGCCAAGCAGAGAGGGTGAGGCAGCAGCAAGCAGATGGGGGTGGGGAGGTAACGACAAAAAGGGAGGGAGAGGTAGGGCGGGGCAATGGCAAGAAATGCTGCAAAGAGGGTGACGGAGAGGAGGAGGAGGGAGATGGGTAGGCCAATAAAGGGGTAGAGCGCTGGGGCATGGTGCATGAGGGGCAGGTGCATTGTGAGCATCCCACTCGCTTCCGCTTCCCTGCGGTGAGTGAGTGGGGCAAACACAAGAATAAGGGGGGATGGGGAATGATGGGGCAGATGGTTGTATGTGTGCAGAATTGAATGAACCGGTGGGCAAATGGGTAAACGGGTGGGGACACATTTGGAGGCATAATCTTCCAGTAGCAGGAAACACAGCCATCGCAGCAGGAGCACACACTGTGCAGCAAGGGTGCGGTAGTGCAGGTAGTGCACACGACACACAGCACACTGAGAAAAATATCAAGTACAAGTACACTGGCACATATGGAGCAGACATGTTGCAACAGCACAGGTCATATGATTCATTCATTCATGTCCACCGTAGCAGCAGCACGCACTGTGCAGCAAGGGTGCGGTAGTACGGGGAAACGACCCCCGAGACCCCAATGGAGGAGCAGCGCAGCAGTGTGAGCCCGTTCTCTGCTGCCCTCACTGCATCCGTCTCAAATGTCAGGTGCCCTATGGCGCCCCACGTCCAGCTCGGCTGCAGCACAATGTCCACTCTGAGGGTGGTGGTGGTGGCGGGTGATGGTGGTGATGGGTTGTATATAAGGGAAGGGATGGATCAGCAGGGGAGAAAATGTCTGCAATGGCTCGTGCCACACTTATATCTTCACTGAAGGCACTGGGTCGGCCGCAGACCTGCCGCAACACCCACAGTTGCACGCAATGCATGCACCAACTGGGTAAGAAGATGAGGCCGGCTGTACACACACGCAGGACACATATGCACACATAGACACAGGCACACACATGCAGTGCATACATACAAGCCCTTACCCTTGCCTGCCCGCCTGACTGATGAGAGCAGGGAACTGTAGGTTGAAGCAGATGGGCCTAGACAGACCTGCTACGCTCCCACACACACGCCCACTCCCTTACTTACCCTTGCCTCACCGTGGCTTGCCCGCCCGACCTGACTAATCAGAGCAGGACAACGCAGATGGCTACAGACAGCTTCCCTAGAAGCGTGTCCACCACGGGCAGGGTGAGTGGCACCATCAGGCGGGTAACAGGCTTAAGTGGCACTACTACAATTACTCTTCACCAAAGGCTCTGGATAGGCTTTGAGCGCACCCACATGCACGCACACCACTCACCCTTGCCTTCCCGCCTGGCTGATGAGAGCAGGGAACTGCAAATCGAAGCAGATCGCCACAGACAGCCTCCCTATCCCTTTCCCCCCTCCCTTCCTCCACACACTCCCCTTCTCACCCTTGCCTGCCCGCCTGGCTGATCAGCGCAGGGAACTGCAGGTCGAAGCAGATGGCCACAGACAGCCTCCCCAGAGGCGTGTCCACCACGGGGAGGGTGCCACTGCCTGGCAGCACGTTGCTCTCCACGGAGGGCACGGGGTGCGTCTTGTTGTAGCGCAGAATGGGGGTGCCGCTGGGGGAGATGAGCGTGAATGAGTTGGTGAATTGCGACGGGGAGATGAGCTGAGTGGGGACGGGGGACAGGAACGGAGGGGTGGGGGCAACAGAAGGGGGAAGTTGTGATGGGGGTTGCAGATGAGAGGGAGGGAAAGCGTTGGCTCGCTATGTGTCTCTAGACAGCCTTGCCAGAAGCGTGTCCACCACGGGGAGGGTGCCTTGGTCTGGCAGCACGTTGGCTTCTACAGTGGGCACGGGGTGGGACTTGTTGTAGCGCAGGATAGGGTCTCCGGTGGGAGAGATGAGCGTGAACGAGTTGGTGAATTGCGCAGGGGAGATGAGCTGTTGGGGGAGGGGAGAGAGGGGGACAGATAGGAGTGAGGGAAATTGTTGGTTCGTTATGAGTCTCTGGCACCTCTGACCACAGAACCAACGCTTACAGCCCCTCACCCGCACAGCCTCTCGCATGCACAGCCTCTCACCTCACCACACTGTATCAAGCACACACCTTCATGTAAGATGCGCCAATGAACGGCCCAACAGCCGACGGGTCCGCATGAGCGCAGCACCAGCACTAGAAGCAGTAGCAGCAGCGGCGGTGTGGTTGCTGGTGGCAGCAGTGGCTATAGCAGCGAGATCAGCAAGCACACACCTTCATGTAAGACGCGCCAACGAACGGCCCAACAGCCGACACGTCCGCATGAGCACCAGCACTAGAAGCGGTCGCAGCAGCAGCAGCAGCAGCAGCAGCAGTTGAAGCGGCAGCAGCAGCACCAGCGTCGCTGCGGTTGATGCTGGCGGCCGTGGCGATGGCTTCAAGGTCAGCCAGGAGCTATTCATGGGCGTACAGGAGAATGACTGCTGCCTCTGACCAGAGAGGATCAACACTTGTGCCTTGCACCTGCATTCCTCTCACCTCACCACGCTCCATCAAGCACTCACCTTCATGTAAGACGCGCCGATAAACGGCCCAAGAGTGGATGGGGTTGCATCATCAGCAGCGGCGGCAGCACCCGAAGCGGCAGCAGCAGCAGCAACAGCAGCAGCAGCAGCAGAAGCAGCAGCGGTAGTGCGGTTGGTGCTGGCAGCAGTGGCGATGGCTCCAAGGTCAGCCAGGAGTTTCTCCTCCTCATGGTCGTACAGGAGAATGACTGCCGCCTCTGACCAGAGAATTAAGGTGTCGCCTGCTCTCGCCTTCTGCTGCGTCTGCTGCACCATGCGCGCTATGCCTGCCACCCGCCATGCCTCCCACTCCTCCCATGTCGCTTTTGCTGCTGCTGCTGCGGTTGCTGACTCTGCAGTTTCTGCTGCTGTTTCTCCTCCTGGTTTGCCTCTTCCTCCTCCGGATACTCCCCATTCCGCATCTCCCTCCCCCACCTGTTTCAACTTCCCACCCTCCCCTCCTTCTCCTCCCTCTCCCCCCTGCAGCAGCTGCCTAGCCCCTGCGGCCTCAGCAGAAGCAGTTAGCAAGGAAAGAGATGGCTGGGGCGTGGAGGCATGAGCAGGAGCAAAAGCAAGTTGAGGGAGCGAGGAGGGAGGCTGGGGAGGGATGTTGTTGGTGGCAGCTTGTGAGAGAATGCAGGAGACAGGGACGGTGGGAACCATGGTGTCTGCGAGTGGCTTTTGGAAGAAGCTGCGGGGGGGAAAGAGAGGAAGAAGGGATGTGGAGAAAGAGAGGGGGATGTGGAGAGAGAGGGAGAGGGAAAGGGGGATGGAATGAGGGAGAGGAGGGGGGATACTAGTGTTAAATTCTCAAATCATGACTTCTAACCGCCTCAGTTCCTCACAAATCATCTCATGCAGTGGTACCTACCTGGATGAAAGCACCGTCTCTCTCGCCGACCCTGCTGCCATGAGAACCACCAGCAGTGCCGCACTCACTTGCACATGCCTCCACCCGCTGCCGCCTCTCCTACCCCTGCTTCCCCCACTCGCGCCTCCTCCCCTTTCTCCGCCCGCCTCTTCTCCTCCTCCCTCGTCCCTTCCTCCCCTCTCTCCCCCGCTTCTGCTTCCTTCTCTTTCTCCTCTTCCATCCCTCACTGCATTACCATCACTACAACCCTCACCACACAATCGACTGTAACCCCCCTCCCTCTCCTCCCCAACCGGCATCCCGCCGCCGCTCCTCCTCCACCCCTCCTCACCCCTCCCCACCGCATCCTCCTCCCACATGACCTGGTGAATCCCCCCCACTAGCCACGCGACCACCAGCAGCACCCCATCCATGCCCACCCACGCAGTGGCTTGCACGAGAGGGAGGATGGAGCGGAGGGAGTAGAGGGGGTGGGCTGTGGCGCCGAAGGGTGAGAGGAGAGTGACGAGGGTCCAGATAGAGGTAGAGACGAGGGGGTAGACGAACGGATGGAGGTTCTGTGAGAGCCTGCAGGAGGGAAGGGGAAGGGGTTCAGGGGGGAAGGGGAAGGGGTTCAGGGGGGAAGGGCTGAAGTGAGTAGAGTGGGTGGGCTGTGGCGCCGAAGGGGGAGAAGAGATAGAGGAGGGTCCAGATAGAGGTAGAGACGAGGGGGAAGACGAGGGGGTGGAGGTTCTGTGAGAGCCTGTGTGGGAACGGAAGGGGGAAAAAATGGGGACGGAAGGAAGACGGAAGGGGGAGGGAAGAGGGGGGGGATTTGGCGGCGGAAGGAGGAGGTGACTAATGAGTCGATGAAAAGAGAGCGGAGCAAGTGGAGCAGGTAGGATGTGGCGGGAAGAGGGGGAGGAGTGCGATGAGGGTTCAGATTGAGGTGGACAGGAGGGGGGAAACGAGTGATGAAGGTTTAGTGAGAGCCGCCATGCCAGCATGCTACCACGACATGCAATCATCCCTGCCACCGTCACACGACCACATATCAGCAGAGTGCAGCATGCATGCCCGCCCGCACGCACGCACGCACGCATGCACGCACACACGCACGCACGCACGCACGCACGCACGCACACACGAACCGGAAGAGTGAGTGAGTAAGGCATGGCATGGCATGGCAGACGCCTCAAAAGGCACCCCGCACTGACCTGGCGACAGGAGTCAAGCAACACCATGTGAGGTCAGAACTCGGAAGTCGCACTCACACACGTGACACGCCCATGTGCGCGCACGCACACACTCTCACACGCAGGCACCTGTAGGTGAAGCGGAAGAGCGAGTCCGCGAGGCATGGCAGCAGCAGCACGGCGGTCATGGGCAGCATGTTGCGGGCCACTAGTAGCGTGGAGGCAAGCGAGTGCGCCGTGGGACCCACCGCGTACATGCCCGCATACGCCACTGTCAAGCCACATGCCTGCACATGCGGTGTGGGTGGGATGAAGTGTGGAGGTGCGGTCATGGGCAGCACGTTAAGAGGCACGGGTAGGGTGGAGGCGAGTGAGTGTGCCGTGGGACCCACCGCGTACATGCCCGCATACGCCACTGTCATGCCGCATGCCTGTGGACGGGGGGAGAGGCGTGTGAGGAGAGGAGGGGCGTGCACAAGGGGCGTAAAAATGTGGACTTTTGAGACGTCTGAAAAGATGGGCACCCACCGCGTACATGCCTGCATACGCCACTGTCATGCCGCATGCGCCTGTGTGCAGAGGGGAGTGCAGAGGTGGAAGCGCAGATGTGGACGCGCAGATGTGGACGTGCAGATGTGGACGTGCAGACGTGGACGTGCAGATGTGGACACACATGCACACGCAGATGCATGCACACATGCGCATGACAGTTCTGAAATGAGCGTAGTCCCGTGGCAACATCCCCTCGTCATGCCATCCTCTAGGCCGTGCTCATGAGAAGCAGCAACGGCACGGCACAACCTGGTACCAGCTAAGTCACCCACTGTGCGCCCTCAACATCAACATCAACATCAACGTTAACGACAACGTCAAAATCAACGTCAACGTCAACATCAACGTCAACGTCAACATCAACACCCCCACCCTCATCCTCATCCTTATCCCAACATTCCCAGGCTGCCCCAGGTCAACTGGGCCAATGCTCTCGAGGCCTCGACTCGACCGTCTCTGGGACTGTCTTGGGGACTGGGAGGAGTTAGGGGCTGGTGAAGGAAGGGAGGGCGCGTTCAATGGAAGCACACGCGGTTCTGTGCGATAGCAATATCTCGCGGGTGTGATTGACATTTTGGTGACTGCAGCGATTCGTCGGACGTGCGGCATGCGTGCGCGCGACGCGATTTTTTCGCATGCGATGTGCGCTGCTTCTGCGGCTACCTGCGTTGCGACGGCGGCGACGGTGAGTGCGACGACGCCCAGCCACGGCCGCTCGCCCACGCGCGCCGCGGAGAAGAAGCGGAGCACCAGCAGCTGCTGCAGCCACGCCGCCGGCACCACCTCCTGCAGCCCGGTGAACACGGCGCAAATCGCGGCGCCTACTAGCAGAAAAACGGGGCAGCGGGCTGCGCTGCGAGGCGCGCCGGGGTTACTATTACTTGCCACGACGAAAGGGCAACCATACGCCATTGGTATACTAGGGGGCGTGGGGAAGAGGCTGCGTATGTACTATGCTGGTTTTGAGACGTCTCAACAATCGAAAGGGCAACCATACGCCATTGGTATACAAGGAGGCGTGGGGGAGAGGCGGTGTGATATGCTATAGAACCCTGGTGGACAGGGTCGTCCGTGATTTATGCCGTGTCCTTTCACAACAAAGCGATCGGGAAGCAACGAAAGCAAGGGAACTTGATGGAATGCGTGCCTGGAGGGGCTCGCGAGAATTTCTCGGGTTACCTCATCGAATGACGTCGCTCATCGGGGAACGACCAATCGAAAGGCTGCTCTACTCAAGTGGGACAGGCTTCCCAGTGGTGATTGCCTACCTACCTCCCCGCCATGGTTTCTGCTCTAACTTCGACGCGCCCAATGTCTATCAATTTCCAGCCTGATGGCATTTTTTCTAGAATCTTAGTGTTCAGCTCGGCTAGCGCTTTAAGAGGATACCTTTATTGTGTTCATACAGTGAACATTGGTGATTCTTACCTAGTCGCAGGAACTATCAAGGTTCATGCCTTATCAAGCTTCTTGGTAGTGTCATGGCGTCTCGGTTTCAGACAGGCAGGCGAGGATTGGCTTCTTGATCCTGACCCGCCTGATTTGCGGCTTTTGTTATCCAGTTCATTGGGATCGTCTTTTTCCCACGAGATCTGCTCAACTACCAATGACACAGGCAACTTCTACAACAGCCATGCAACTACTACCTACATAAGCAAGTGTATTGTTACGAGATGTTTCATATTCGTGCTCAGAGGAGGTGTGTCATCAAGCTACAGTTCGAGCTTGTCCCTCCTTTCTCATCATTGCACAATGGCTGGTGGTCGACGCAATGGACGGGGTGGTGGGAAGACTGGAGGGAAGGTTAACGGCACTGCTAGTAACTCTCCTCTGACCAGCGCGGAGCGCTCCCCTGAGAAGAGTCCGCTGGTGTCTGCGCAAGCCTCACCTCTCCCCAAGGCGGCGGTGACCGACGTATTGGGTGATGCGGCGAAGATCTCCTTGCAGGAGCGTCTGTCTGCACTGAAGGTCAACGGGCTTAAGGACAATGAGGACGACAATGAGACTCAGCATCCGCAGGCGAGTACGTCGGCTGGCGTTTCGCCATCCCCGGCGACAATGGCACCTGCGACGGCGACAATGGCAGAGGGTGGCAGTAAATATGAGGATGAAGATGATTGCTGGGACAGCGATGACGAGGATGATTTTGATCCATCGGCGGTCAGTCTGCTCGCGTCTCAAGTCAGCTTACGCTCCTGATCCCTATTCAGTGGGAGAGCGAGGTCCCGAAGCTGAAACCTACGGTCATGGCGCACCTGGATCATTGGAAGGCTTCGCTGACGGCCGACGCGCAGACGACCACAAAGTACCAGGAGATGCTGCCTGTCTGGCTTTCAAAGAAGAGATATGGTCGGCTTCAGGTTACCTTTCAGCACGCAAGCGATGCAGCATCCATCTGGCGACGCTCCATCGAGCATGATGTGGGGAAGGGTGTTACCCTGACGCTTAACTGGCAGCACCCGGAGAACGCAACTTACCGGAAGGAGCGTCAGCAGAACCCGGATGCGGTGGAAGTGCTGCTGAAGTCTGTTCCGGCTGGTGTCTCTCCAGAGCTGATCTGCAAGATGCTGATGGAGGTCGCGCTGCTTAAGAAGGGGAAGCCTGCGTTCAGCAAAGGTGTGGGTTTCCACAGGGTGCAGGATCCTGTTACTGGCATCGACACCGACAAAGTTCGTGGTCTGGTGATTGAGCACGCGAACGACGACGATCCATGGCGTCACGCGGTTGCTGATCTGTCGAACCCCGGAAGGAAGTTGTTGGTTCATTACCCAGCACTCACCTGCGGTTACTGCAAGGGTCAGCATCAGACGCAGTATCACAACGCTTATGTCACGGAGCGTCAGTCCAGCATCGGCAAATGGACCTTGTTTGTTGCAAAGGTTCATGCGATCAACGGTATCAGTGTTTTGCTTTTCTCACCTTTACTGCTCCTGTCTTTTCCTTCAACTCTCACTGACGTTCCGGCTCAAATCCCTCCTCGCAGCTGCATCGCTGAAAGTCACAGCGTTAACGAAAGACATCCTCAAGGATCCGGCTATTGTTCTCACCTCCACGAGGGGGTCGCGGGAAGATTGGGTGTGTGTGATCGCTGCATGCGACAAAGCGCAAGGTGCCAGTTTCGAGCAGGCGTCTGCTCACGTCGCTTCACTACGTCACAAGACGAACCTGACCAAGCCAGGTGCTGCTACTCGCGCCAGCAAGGGTGCTCTCAACTTGGGAGCGTTTCGCAAGGAGTTTGCCAAGTGATCGCCGGTTGCTGTTGTCCCAGTGCTACGCATCTGCGGGGTCACGGAGGGGAGGAAGATGATAGCTCATCGATCGTTTCAAGTTGTGTCGGTTGTAGTAGTAGTCCCAGTGGTGTGCAGTTTCATGTTGCGGTTGATGTCAGCGGCACGCGTGTATCAGGAGATCTGTATTAGTTTCCCAGCCCGTGGATGCGAAGGGGCTCCTCACCTGTTTTTAAATGAATAAGAAGAACTCGATCAGGTTTTGCGAGCTCAACATCAATGGGCTCGGCAGTGCAGGGAAGCAAGGGAAATGCAAAGACTGGCTAAGGAATAAGGCGGACATAGCAGTACTTACAGACACGCGCATTCCGGCTGATCATAATTTCTGGACCCAACTGAAGCCGTCTGCGGTGGTGGCCGTGGGGCCAGCTGGGTCGGCAGGAGGCGTAGTGGTGGTGAGCTTCGTACCTGGGATGGTTTTCACAGACGTATACACACATGCATCAGGGAGGCTGGTAGGGGTGGTGGTCCGCTGGGGAGATTTGGAGCTGCTCCTAGTTGCGATGTACTCACCGGCGCAACCGGAGAGCAGAGCTCCTTTCTACAGGGACTGTCTGGGCCCCTTTTTAAGCACCTTACCAAAGCTGACGAACGTCCTAGTGATGGGTGATTTGAACGTGGTGGAGGATCCAGCGCTGGACAAATCGACGGGAATAGGGTCGTCGGCAGAAAATCGGAGGCTGATGGGATTCTGGGCGAACACCCCGCTTACCGATGCATTCCGCTATGCGCACCCTGGAAAGAGGGAGTACACGTTCCACATGAGGTCAAAGGGGGTGAGCACCAGAATTGACCGCGCGCTGGTGTCGCAGCCGCTGTTATGCAAGCTGGTGGAGGTACGGCATGCAGATATCACGAATAAAATGACAGACCACTGGAGTGCGGTGGTGGTGGTGCTAGAGTCATCGGCGGCGGTCGACAGGGGTCCCGGCATCTGGCGGCTCAGGGCTGCTCAGGCAAAGAAGAGAGGGGTCAGGAATCGGGTGGAACGGGTGCTTAAGGATGCTGACGGTGATCTCGGTGTGATGCTGCCCAGGCTGACGGCGTGTCTGCGGGCGTACACAAGGGAAGAAAAAAAGAGGGTCGGGGCAACAAAAAGGCACTTGGAAAGGGAGATAAAGATCTTCAGGCAGCGGCTGTCACAGAACCCGAATTGTAAGCGGACGGGAGCAATTCTGCTAAAAAAAGAGGAGCTGCTTGACGCGTATGAAAGGAGTCACCAGGAAAAGCTGCAGGAGTGGCTTGGGGTGAAGGCAGAGCTGGACGGGGAAGCAACAACAGGTTTCCTGTCTGGGAAGGTGAAGATGCGCAAGGCAAAAACGGAGATGTCAGCTGTTACTTTCAAGGGGAAAACCCATTCGGGCGCAAGGGAGGTTCTTGCGGCGGCGACAGATTTTTTCAGGGACTCATTCGGCAGGAGTGCGGAGACAAGCAACTCAGAGCCGAGAGTCATGAGCCGGACGCTGTGTGAAGCCAGCCGTAATGCCCTCAGCGCGCCATGGTCGGAGGAAGAAGTTCGGACGGCGGTGCGAGAGCTGGCCCCAGGGAAGTCACCTGGGCAAGACGGCCTTCCCAAGGAACTCTTCGAACACAACTGGGACTTGCTCGGCCCTGTGCTGATGAAATTTGTCGGTGACTTCACGCGGTCGGCGGAGCTTCCTCGAGATATCTCAACCGCGGTCACAATCCTGCTGCACAAGAAGGGGAGCAAGGAGGAGTTAGGGAACTATAGGCCAATCACGTTGCTGAGCACGGTCTACAAATTACTGGCGAAAGTAATGGCGACAAGGTTTAAGAAGGTGTTGCACGAGGTGATTTCGGAGGAACAGGTGGGCTTCTTACCCGGGCTGAAGCTGGCGGACGCTGTTGCGGTGGTGGCTGACGCAATCGAGGCAGGGGCCACTGGCGGGAAAGATTGGTTTCTGCTGATGGTCGATTTCCAGAAGGCCTTCGACTCCATCTCGAGGCCCTTCCTCTTCAGCACGCTGCGAGGGATGGGAGTTCCGGAAGTTTTTGTGTCGTGGGCAGAGGGTCTGCACACAGGAGCAGGAACGAGACTGCACATTAACGGTTGGACAGGCGACAGAGTTGCAGTAGAACGGTGGGTTCGGCAGGCTGCCCACTGGCACCATACCTGTTCTTGTGCGCGGTGGAACCGCTCTGCCAGGAGTTTGAGCAGCGGAGGCTGGGTGTCGGGGACGGGGGAGCGGAGAGGCTGGCGTATCTGGGATACGCCGACGACACGTCGCTCCTGCTACACGGAGAAGAACAGCTGGCAGCCGCTGCGGAAGCACTGGAAAATTTCGGGGAGGTATCGGGGTTGAAGGTTAACATGGACAAGACAGTGGTGTTCCCGCTCGGGAAAAACAGAGGGAGACTCCCGCCGGCGCCTGCAGTACAAATGGGCTGATAAGGATGCACCGGAGAGGCTGCTGGGTGTCTGGATCACCCCGAACGGTGATCCACTCCCGTCCTGGGAAAAGGCGTTGGACAGGGCACGAAAAGAATTAGCCAAGTGGGAGATTCAGCACCTAACCACGTCGGCAAGGGTCACGATAATCAACGGCTATATCTCGCCCATTTTCATGTTTCAAGCCTACATTTGCCCGCCGCCGGAGGAGGTATGGACAAAGATCAAGAGGATCTGTCACAACTTCGTGTCGGGGGCCGAGGCGACGGACGAGAAGGCCTTCATTCTCTGGAACTACGAGCTGATCTGCACACCAAGGGAGGAGGGGGGGCTGGGGATGATCTGCCCCAAGAAACGGTTTGACAGCATAGCGGTGCATAATGTTGGGCGCATGATGCTGCAAGCAGCCTCAGTCAAGAGGTGGTTGATGGAACAGGCAGCGACGATGCCCTTGGGCCCGGACACGATTTACGCCCACCACTCCCTGCTGAAGCACTGGACGAATGGCAGCAAGCGATGGAAGGATATGGTGCAAGCGTTTTGGAAATCGCCTTTCTGCGCCACACCGGAACCAGAGAATCGCTGGGAGGTGGAGCGAGAGCAGCTGGCTTTCAACAGACGCATACCTTTCCGGGGGAGCAGCCCTTTCGGGAATCAGAAAGGCTCGCTACGCTTACTGGGGCTGACGATGGGCGATCTGATCTGGCGACGGGAGGATGGCTCGCGGGAGCTGAAAAGCGAAGCCGCTCTGGCAAGCGAGCTCGGGAGCACAGAGACGGCGAAGCTGGCTCGGAAAGCCTTCGAGGCGGCGCTGGCCAGATGGAGGGAATTACTGCTGGAAACCCTGACGAGTGGAGAGATCGCGGCTAAAGTCCCTCTGCTGCGGCATCAGAGGAATGGGGCTTCACGCCCTACGCTCTGGAAAGTTAGCGGCACGGACAACGGCAAGGTGGTGGGGGTGCTGTGTCATGAAGGCGCTGGTGGATCTTTCACAGTCGGGAGCGGTAAACACCCGGTCCGCTTCGGGCTGCAAAGCGGGGAGCCGGTGGCAGCTGCGGGGGACAAGGTGCTGGGGCTGATGGGTGAGGCGCGGACGAAGTGTCTGCAGTCCAAGCTAGGCAAGGACGGGGTGGTGCTGCCACTGAAAGAGATTAGGAAGGAGCTGGTTAGCTCGGCAGGCACGGTGAGGGAGCAGCGGAGGTGGATTGGGGATGGGAGGGTGATCGAGTGGAAGGGAGTCATCAAACAGAGGGACTCTCCAGCCACTCCTGCCCGGGCAAGAGAAGTTCTGTTGAGGCCCTTCCCTCCAGACACAGTTACGACTGCATGATGTGTTTGTACATTATCTTTTAGTGTACTTTCTCGCATAAAAAAAAATTCGAATGACGTCGCGAAGATTCTTCTGCCAATAGCCTTGTCCGTAGGCTTGGCGAGAGTGTTCGCGAGGTCGTCACGCTCGAGCTACCCGCTAGTCGTGCACAGGCGCAAGGTCCTCTCTACAGCAAAAGGTCCCGAACAAGCTGTGCCCTGTTATGTACTCACAAAAGGCCCGAACACAACTTCCGTTGCATATTTCACTTCTAAAAAAACTGCAATCAGGATTCATATATGCCCGACACCAAAACCTTTCCTGCAATAATGATTCAGCTGCACACCATTAATGCAGTGCATTTACAACAAGAAACCTTCCATGCATCCTGTATCCAAACTTCTTGGTGCTAGTAAGCTACCTTGATTCACATTATATAAAGGTGCAAGCCGAATTCTCACAAATGCAGCAGCCAGCCACACCCTCACACCACCAGTGGAAATCCATTGGCTAAAAAAGAATGGACGATACACTAAAATCATGCACTGGGGGACCTGCTCTCACATCACACACAGACGGGCATTGGGCATCAACACAGCATGGGAGGAATCTTGGGTGAGGTAGTGATGGAGGCTGTAACACAACAAACATGACGAGCTTAACGATTGAGTGTGACTAGAATAGGCATGGTGCAAGGCGCACAGAGAAGACAGCACCACCATGTGAGCAGTGGGTTTTAGCTCACAATGCATCAGCTGGGTTTGTGTGCAGCGCAGTGCAATGGAGTGCAATGCAGTGCAGGCCATGAAACATCGTGTCTAATATGGTAGTCTAACATGGCAATCAGTTGCCATGACTGGGGGACGAGCAATGAGGGTTGCAGCATCACAAGGAGCACATCTTACAGGATGCAGAACCAAGCAACAGTACAAGCAAGAGCAGCAGGATATTTCATACAGTGTGGAGGATCAGGAGAACGTTCACAGCAGGCAGGCACCCCACACCATCTCACCCCATCTCACCCTGTTCCACCACACTGCACCCCACCCCACCCCACCGCACCCCACCCCACCCAACCCCAGGAACCAGCACCTGTACCTGACTGCGAGGAAAGCAGGTAGAGGGGCAAAGCAACCGCTCTGTGTGCCTCCACAGTACGTTCCACAGCCGAGCCAGATGGAGAAGCTACTAACGAGGACGAGGATAACAGAGGGGAGGAGGGGAAGGTAGAGGTGGGGGTGGGGAGAGACGGGGTGGAGGAGAGGAGGAGTGCGGCGAGGAGAGGGTGGTGGAGCAGGGAGAGGAGGTCTGCTGCCTGGTCGCAGACAGAGGGGTGCAGATGGGTGCGTGAGCGAACCACCTGGTGGGAGGGGGAGGGGGGTAAAAGGGAAGGAGGGAGGGAGGGAGATGGAAGGAAAAAGGGAAGGAGGAGGAAAATGGGTGAGAAACAAGAGGACTATGCAGAGGGTGGTGGAGCAGGGAGAGGAGGTCAGCTGCCTGGTCGCAGACAGAGGGGTGCAGATGGGTGGGTGAGCGAACTACCTGGCGGGAGGGGGTAGGTAGATGGGAAGGAGGGAGGGAGGGAGACGGAGGGAGAAAGGAGGATGAAGGAAGGCAAAGTTAAAGGAGGAAGGAGGGAGATGCAAGGGAGACGAGGACTATACAGAGCTGGAGAGAGAGGAGGAGGAGGTTGGGGGGGTTAAAGAGCCAAAAAAAACAGGAGCCGGAAAAAACGGGAGAGGGACACACTCTGATAAGGAGGACATGCCATGATGAGCCAGAAGGAACGTGTCTTGGAGAGACGGAATAACAAGACAGTGGCATGCATTTGTGCCTCCATAGAAATACAAACACACGCATGTGCATCCACACACATGTACACACCCGCACCCACGCACGCACGCACCCACACTCATATCCCCTTCTCCCCACCGCCACTTCCTCCCAAACACACTCGCACCTTGGAGAGGCAGACGCGTGCGCGTGTGCGAAGATCAGTCTCTGCAGCAGCGAGCTTGGCAATGGCTCCCACCCCCTCCTCCCTCCACACACCCACACACCTTGGAAAGGCAGACACGTGCGCGTGTGCGAAGATCCGTCTCTGCAGCAGCGAGCTTGGCAATGGCTCCCACAGCAGCAGACAGCAGGCGAGAACGTGCTGATGGCGCCCCCACTGCTGCCGCTGCTGATCCTGACATGCCACCCATGCTGCTGTCCGCTCCCAACCTGGCAGAGAGGGGAGAAGGGGGAGAAAGAAGGGGGGTGGGGGAAGAAGGGAGAGGAAGGGGGAGGAATGAGAGTGATGCCCAGCACAAGCAGCACAAGCAGCACAAGCAGCACAAGCAGCACAAGCAGCACAAGCAGCACAAGCAGCACAAGCAGCACAAGCAGCACAAGCAGCACAAGCAGCACAAGCAGCACAAGCAGCACAAGCAGCACAAGCAGCACAAGCAGCACAAGCAGCACAAGCAGCACAAGCAGCACAAGCAGCACAAGCAGCACAAGCAGCACAAGCAGCACAAGCAGCACAAGCAGCACAAGCAGCACAAGCAGCACAAGCAGCACAAGCAGCACAAGCAGCACAAGCAGCACAAGCAGCACAAGCAGCACAAGCAGCACAAGCAGCACAAGCAGCACAAGCAGCACAAGCAGCACAAGCAGCACAAGCAGCACAAGCAGCACAAGCAGCACAAGCAGCACAAGCAGCACAAGCAGCACAAGCAGCACAAGCAGCACAAGCAGCACAAGCAGCACAAGCAGCACAAGCAGCACAAGCAGCACAAGCAGCACAAGCAGCACAAGCAGCACAAGCAGCACAAGCAGCACAAGCAGCACAAGCAGCACAAGCAGCACAAGCAGCACAAGCAGCACAAGCAGCACAAGCAGCACAAGCAGCACAAGCAGCACAAGCAGCACAAGCAGCACAAGCAGCACAAGCAGCACAAGCAGCACAAGCAGCACAAGCAGCACAAGCAGCACAAGCAGCACAAGCAGCACAAGCAGCACAAGCAGCACAAGCAGCACAAGCAGCACAAGCAGCACAAGCAGCACAAGCAGCACAAGCAGCACAAGCAGCACAAGCAGCACAAGCAGCACAAGCAGCACAAGCAGCACAAGCAGCACAAGCAGCACAAGCAGCACAAGCAGCACAAGCAGCACAAGCAGCACAAGCAGCACAAGCAGCACAAGCAGCACAAGCAGCACAAGCAGCACAAGCAGCACAAGCAGCACAAGCAGCACAAGCAGCACAAGCAGCACAAGCAGCACAAGCAGCACAAGCAGCACAAGCAGCACAAGCAGCACAAGCAGCACAAGCAGCACAAGCAGCACAAGCAGCACAAGCAGCACAAGCAGCACAAGCAGCACAAGCAGCACAAGCAGCACAAGCAGCACAAGCAGCACAAGCAGCACAAGCAGCACAAGCAGCACAAGCAGCACAAGCAGCACAAGCAGCACAAGCAGCACAAGCAGCACAAGCAGCACAAGCAGCACAAGCAGCACAAGCAGCACAAGCAGCACAAGCAGCACAAGCAGCACAAGCAGCACAAGCAGCACAAGCAGCACAAGCAGCACAAGCAGCACAAGCAGCACAAGCAGCACAAGCAGCACAAGCAGCACAAGCAGCACAAGCAGCACAAGCAGCACAAGCAGCACAAGCAGCACAAGCAGCACAAGCAGCACAAGCAGCACAAGCAGCACAAGCAGCACAAGCAGCACAAGCAGCACAAGCAGCACAAGCAGCACAAGCAGCACAAGCAGCACAAGCAGCACAAGCAGCACAAGCAGCACAAGCAGCACAAGCAGCACAAGCAGCACAAGCAGCACAAGCAGCACAAGCAGCACAAGCAGCACAAGCAGCACAAGCAGCACAAGCAGCACAAGCAGCACAAGCAGCACAAGCAGCACAAGCAGCACAAGCAGCACAAGCAGCACAAGCAGCACAAGCAGCACAAGCAGCACAAGCAGCACAAGCAGCACAAGCAGCACAAGCAGCACAAGCAGCACAAGCAGCACAAGCAGCACAAGCAGCACAAGCAGCACAAGCAGCACAAGCAGCACAAGCAGCACAAGCAGCACAAGCAGCACAAGCAGCACAAGCAGCACAAGCAGCACAAGCAGCACAAGCAGCACAAGCAGCACAAGCAGCACAAGCAGCACAAGCAGCACAAGCAGCACAAGCAGCACAAGCAGCACAAGCAGCACAAGCAGCACAAGCAGCACAAGCAGCACAAGCAGCACAAGCAGCACAAGCAGCACAAGCAGCACAAGCAGCACAAGCAGCACAAGCAGCACAAGCAGCACAAGCAGCACAAGCAGCACAAGCAGCACAAGCAGCACAAGCAGCACAAGCAGCACAAGCAGCACAAGCAGCACAAGCAGCACAAGCAGCACAAGCAGCACAAGCAGCACAAGCAGCACAAGCAGCACAAGCAGCACAAGCAGCACAAGCAGCACAAGCAGCACAAGCAGCACAAGCAGCACAAGCAGCACAAGCAGCACAAGCAGCACAAGCAGCACAAGCAGCACAAGCAGCACAAGCAGCACAAGCAGCACAAGCAGCACAAGCAGCACAAGCAGCACAAGCAGCACAAGCAGCACAAGCAGCACAAGCAGCACAAGCAGCACAAGCAGCACAAGCAGCACAAGCAGCACAAGCAGCACAAGCAGCACAAGCAGCACAAGCAGCACAAGCAGCACAAGCAGCACAAGCAGCACAAGCAGCACAAGCAGCACAAGCAGCACAAGCAGCACAAGCAGCACAAGCAGCACAAGCAGCACAAGCAGCACAAGCAGCACAAGCAGCACAAGCAGCACAAGCAGCACAAGCAGCACAAGCAGCACAAGCAGCACAAGCAGCACAAGCAGCACAAGCAGCACAAGCAGCACAAGCAGCACAAGCAGCACAAGCAGCACAAGCAGCACAAGCAGCACAAGCAGCACAAGCAGCACAAGCAGCACAAGCAGCACAAGCAGCACAAGCAGCACAAGCAGCACAAGCAGCACAAGCAGCACAAGCAGCACAAGCAGCACAAGCAGCACAAGCAGCACAAGCAGCACAAGCAGCACAAGCAGCACAAGCAGCACAAGCAGCACAAGCAGCACAAGCAGCACAAGCAGCACAAGCAGCACAAGCAGCACAAGCAGCACAAGCAGCACAAGCAGCACAAGCAGCACAAGCAGCACAAGCAGCACAAGCAGCACAAGCAGCACAAGCAGCACAAGCAGCACAAGCAGCACAAGCAGCACAAGCAGCACAAGCAGCACAAGCAGCACAAGCAGCACAAGCAGCACAAGCAGCACAAGCAGCACAAGCAGCACAAGCAGCACAAGCAGCACAAGCAGCACAAGCAGCACAAGCAGCACAAGCAGCACAAGCAGCACAAGCAGCACAAGCAGCACAAGCAGCACAAGCAGCACAAGCAGCACAAGCAGCACAAGCAGCACAAGCAGCACAAGCAGCACAAGCAGCACAAGCAGCACAAGCAGCACAAGCAGCACAAGCAGCACAAGCAGCACAAGCAGCACAAGCAGCACAAGCAGCACAAGCAGCACAAGCAGCACAAGCAGCACAAGCAGCACAAGCAGCACAAGCAGCACAAGCAGCACAAGCAGCACAAGCAGCACAAGCAGCACAAGCAGCACAAGCAGCACAAGCAGCACAAGCAGCACAAGCAGCACAAGCAGCACAAGCAGCACAAGCAGCACAAGCAGCACAAGCAGCACAAGCAGCACAAGCAGCACAAGCAGCACAAGCAGCACAAGCAGCACAAGCAGCACAAGCAGCACAAGCAGCACAAGCAGCACAAGCAGCACAAGCAGCACAAGCAGCACAAGCAGCACAAGCAGCACAAGCAGCACAAGCAGCACAAGCAGCACAAGCAGCACAAGCAGCACAAGCAGCACAAGCAGCACAAGCAGCACAAGCAGCACAAGCAGCACAAGCAGCACAAGCAGCACAAGCAGCACAAGCAGCACAAGCAGCACAAGCAGCACAAGCAGCACAAGCAGCACAAGCAGCACAAGCAGCACAAGCAGCACAAGCAGCACAAGCAGCACAAGCAGCACAAGCAGCACAAGCAGCACAAGCAGCACAAGCAGCACAAGCAGCACAAGCAGCACAAGCAGCACAAGCAGCACAAGCAGCACAAGCAGCACAAGCAGCACAAGCAGCACAAGCAGCACAAGCAGCACAAGCAGCACAAGCAGCACAAGCAGCACAAGCAGCACAAGCAGCACAAGCAGCACAAGCAGCACAAGCAGCACAAGCAGCACAAGCAGCACAAGCAGCACAAGCAGCACAAGCAGCACAAGCAGCACAAGCAGCACAAGCAGCACAAGCAGCACAAGCAGCACAAGCAGCACAAGCAGCACAAGCAGCACAAGCAGCACAAGCAGCACAAGCAGCACAAGCAGCACAAGCAGCACAAGCAGCACAAGCAGCACAAGCAGCACAAGCAGCACAAGCAGCACAAGCAGCACAAGCAGCACAAGCAGCACAAGCAGCACAAGCAGCACAAGCAGCACAAGCAGCACAAGCAGCACAAGCAGCACAAGCAGCACAAGCAGCACAAGCAGCACAAGCAGCACAAGCAGCACAAGCAGCACAAGCAGCACAAGCAGCACAAGCAGCACAAGCAGCACAAGCAGCACAAGCAGCACAAGCAGCACAAGCAGCACAAGCAGCACAAGCAGCACAAGCAGCACAAGCAGCACAAGCAGCACAAGCAGCACAAGCAGCACAAGCAGCACAAGCAGCACAAGCAGCACAAGCAGCACAAGCAGCACAAGCAGCACAAGCAGCACAAGCAGCACAAGCAGCACAAGCAGCACAAGCAGCACAAGCAGCACAAGCAGCACAAGCAGCACAAGCAGCACAAGCAGCACAAGCAGCACAAGCAGCACAAGCAGCACAAGCAGCACAAGCAGCACAAGCAGCACAAGCAGCACAAGCAGCACAAGCAGCACAAGCAGCACAAGCAGCACAAGCAGCACAAGCAGCACAAGCAGCACAAGCAGCACAAGCAGCACAAGCAGCACAAGCAGCACAAGCAGCACAAGCAGCACAAGCAGCACAAGCAGCACAAGCAGCACAAGCAGCACAAGCAGCACAAGCAGCACAAGCAGCACAAGCAGCACAAGCAGCACAAGCAGCACAAGCAGCACAAGCAGCACAAGCAGCACAAGCAGCACAAGCAGCACAAGCAGCACAAGCAGCACAAGCAGCACAAGCAGCACAAGCAGCACAAGCAGCACAAGCAGCACAAGCAGCACAAGCAGCACAAGCAGCACAAGCAGCACAAGCAGCACAAGCAGCACAAGCAGCACAAGCAGCACAAGCAGCACAAGCAGCACAAGCAGCACAAGCAGCACAAGCAGCACAAGCAGCACAAGCAGCACAAGCAGCACAAGCAGCACAAGCAGCACAAGCAGCACAAGCAGCACAAGCAGCACAAGCAGCACAAGCAGCACAAGCAGCACAAGCAGCACAAGCAGCACAAGCAGCACAAGCAGCACAAGCAGCACAAGCAGCACAAGCAGCACAAGCAGCACAAGCAGCACAAGCAGCACAAGCAGCACAAGCAGCACAAGCAGCACAAGCAGCACAAGCAGCACAAGCAGCACAAGCAGCACAAGCAGCACAAGCAGCACAAGCAGCACAAGCAGCACAAGCAGCACAAGCAGCACAAGCAGCACAAGCAGCACAAGCAGCACAAGCAGCACAAGCAGCACAAGCAGCACAAGCAGCACAAGCAGCACAAGCAGCACAAGCAGCACAAGCAGCACAAGCAGCACAAGCAGCACAAGCAGCACAAGCAGCACAAGCAGCACAAGCAGCACAAGCAGCACAAGCAGCACAAGCAGCACAAGCAGCACAAGCAGCACAAGCAGCACAAGCAGCACAAGCAGCACAAGCAGCACAAGCAGCACAAGCAGCACAAGCAGCACAAGCAGCACAAGCAGCACAAGCAGCACAAGCAGCACAAGCAGCACAAGCAGCACAAGCAGCACAAGCAGCACAAGCAGCACAAGCAGCACAAGCAGCACAAGCAGCACAAGCAGCACAAGCAGCACAAGCAGCACAAGCAGCACAAGCAGCACAAGCAGCACAAGCAGCACAAGCAGCACAAGCAGCACAAGCAGCACAAGCAGCACAAGCAGCACAAGCAGCACAAGCAGCACAAGCAGCACAAGCAGCACAAGCAGCACAAGCAGCACAAGCAGCACAAGCAGCACAAGCAGCACAAGCAGCACAAGCAGCACAAGCAGCACAAGCAGCACAAGCAGCACAAGCAGCACAAGCAGCACAAGCAGCACAAGCAGCACAAGCAGCACAAGCAGCACAAGCAGCACAAGCAGCACAAGCAGCACAAGCAGCACAAGCAGCACAAGCAGCACAAGCAGCACAAGCAGCACAAGCAGCACAAGCAGCACAAGCAGCACAAGCAGCACAAGCAGCACAAGCAGCACAAGCAGCACAAGCAGCACAAGCAGCACAAGCAGCACAAGCAGCACAAGCAGCACAAGCAGCACAAGCAGCACAAGCAGCACAAGCAGCACAAGCAGCACAAGCAGCACAAGCAGCACAAGCAGCACAAGCAGCACAAGCAGCACAAGCAGCACAAGCAGCACAAGCAGCACAAGCAGCACAAGCAGCACAAGCAGCACAAGCAGCACAAGCAGCACAAGCAGCACAAGCAGCACAAGCAGCACAAGCAGCACAAGCAGCACAAGCAGCACAAGCAGCACAAGCAGCACAAGCAGCACAAGCAGCACAAGCAGCACAAGCAGCACAAGCAGCACAAGCAGCACAAGCAGCACAAGCAGCACAAGCAGCACAAGCAGCACAAGCAGCACAAGCAGCACAAGCAGCACAAGCAGCACAAGCAGCACAAGCAGCACAAGCAGCACAAGCAGCACAAGCAGCACAAGCAGCACAAGCAGCACAAGCAGCACAAGCAGCACAAGCAGCACAAGCAGCACAAGCAGCACAAGCAGCACAAGCAGCACAAGCAGCACAAGCAGCACAAGCAGCACAAGCAGCACAAGCAGCACAAGCAGCACAAGCAGCACAAGCAGCACAAGCAGCACAAGCAGCACAAGCAGCACAAGCAGCACAAGCAGCACAAGCAGCACAAGCAGCACAAGCAGCACAAGCAGCACAAGCAGCACAAGCAGCACAAGCAGCACAAGCAGCACAAGCAGCACAAGCAGCACAAGCAGCACAAGCAGCACAAGCAGCACAAGCAGCACAAGCAGCACAAGCAGCACAAGCAGCACAAGCAGCACAAGCAGCACAAGCAGCACAAGCAGCACAAGCAGCACAAGCAGCACAAGCAGCACAAGCAGCACAAGCAGCACAAGCAGCACAAGCAGCACAAGCAGCACAAGCAGCACAAGCAGCACAAGCAGCACAAGCAGCACAAGCAGCACAAGCAGCACAAGCAGCACAAGCAGCACAAGCAGCACAAGCAGCACAAGCAGCACAAGCAGCACAAGCAGCACAAGCAGCACAAGCAGCACAAGCAGCACAAGCAGCACAAGCAGCACAAGCAGCACAAGCAGCACAAGCAGCACAAGCAGCACAAGCAGCACAAGCAGCACAAGCAGCACAAGCAGCACAAGCAGCACAAGCAGCACAAGCAGCACAAGCAGCACAAGCAGCACAAGCAGCACAAGCAGCACAAGCAGCACAAGCAGCACAAGCAGCACAAGCAGCACAAGCAGCACAAGCAGCACAAGCAGCACAAGCAGCACAAGCAGCACAAGCAGCACAAGCAGCACAAGCAGCACAAGCAGCACAAGCAGCACAAGCAGCACAAGCAGCACAAGCAGCACAAGCAGCACAAGCAGCACAAGCAGCACAAGCAGCACAAGCAGCACAAGCAGCACAAGCAGCACAAGCAGCACAAGCAGCACAAGCAGCACAAGCAGCACAAGCAGCACAAGCAGCACAAGCAGCACAAGCAGCACAAGCAGCACAAGCAGCACAAGCAGCACAAGCAGCACAAGCAGCACAAGCAGCACAAGCAGCACAAGCAGCACAAGCAGCACAAGCAGCACAAGCAGCACAAGCAGCACAAGCAGCACAAGCAGCACAAGCAGCACAAGCAGCACAAGCAGCACAAGCAGCACAAGCAGCACAAGCAGCACAAGCAGCACAAGCAGCACAAGCAGCACAAGCAGCACAAGCAGCACAAGCAGCACAAGCAGCACAAGCAGCACAAGCAGCACAAGCAGCACAAGCAGCACAAGCAGCACAAGCAGCACAAGCAGCACAAGCAGCACAAGCAGCACAAGCAGCACAAGCAGCACAAGCAGCACAAGCAGCACAAGCAGCACAAGCAGCACAAGCAGCACAAGCAGCACAAGCAGCACAAGCAGCACAAGCAGCACAAGCAGCACAAGCAGCACAAGCAGCACAAGCAGCACAAGCAGCACAAGCAGCACAAGCAGCACAAGCAGCACAAGCAGCACAAGCAGCACAAGCAGCACAAGCAGCACAAGCAGCACAAGCAGCACAAGCAGCACAAGCAGCACAAGCAGCACAAGCAGCACAAGCAGCACAAGCAGCACAAGCAGCACAAGCAGCACAAGCAGCACAAGCAGCACAAGCAGCACAAGCAGCACAAGCAGCACAAGCAGCACAAGCAGCACAAGCAGCACAAGCAGCACAAGCAGCACAAGCAGCACAAGCAGCACAAGCAGCACAAGCAGCACAAGCAGCACAAGCAGCACAAGCAGCACAAGCAGCACAAGCAGCACAAGCAGCACAAGCAGCACAAGCAGCACAAGCAGCACAAGCAGCACAAGCAGCACAAGCAGCACAAGCAGCACAAGCAGCACAAGCAGCACAAGCAGCACAAGCAGCACAAGCAGCACAAGCAGCACAAGCAGCACAAGCAGCACAAGCAGCACAAGCAGCACAAGCAGCACAAGCAGCACAAGCAGCACAAGCAGCACAAGCAGCACAAGCAGCACAAGCAGCACAAGCAGCACAAGCAGCACAAGCAGCACAAGCAGCACAAGCAGCACAAGCAGCACAAGCAGCACAAGCAGCACAAGCAGCACAAGCAGCACAAGCAGCACAAGCAGCACAAGCAGCACAAGCAGCACAAGCAGCACAAGCAGCACAAGCAGCACAAGCAGCACAAGCAGCACAAGCAGCACAAGCAGCACAAGCAGCACAAGCAGCACAAGCAGCACAAGCAGCACAAGCAGCACAAGCAGCACAAGCAGCACAAGCAGCACAAGCAGCACAAGCAGCACAAGCAGCACAAGCAGCACAAGCAGCACAAGCAGCACAAGCAGCACAAGCAGCACAAGCAGCACAAGCAGCACAAGCAGCACAAGCAGCACAAGCAGCACAAGCAGCACAAGCAGCACAAGCAGCACAAGCAGCACAAGCAGCACAAGCAGCACAAGCAGCACAAGCAGCACAAGCAGCACAAGCAGCACAAGCAGCACAAGCAGCACAAGCAGCACAAGCAGCACAAGCAGCACAAGCAGCACAAGCAGCACAAGCAGCACAAGCAGCACAAGCAGCACAAGCAGCACAAGCAGCACAAGCAGCACAAGCAGCACAAGCAGCACAAGCAGCACAAGCAGCACAAGCAGCACAAGCAGCACAAGCAGCACAAGCAGCACAAGCAGCACAAGCAGCACAAGCAGCACAAGCAGCACAAGCAGCACAAGCAGCACAAGCAGCACAAGCAGCACAAGCAGCACAAGCAGCACAAGCAGCACAAGCAGCACAAGCAGCACAAGCAGCACAAGCAGCACAAGCAGCACAAGCAGCACAAGCAGCACAAGCAGCACAAGCAGCACAAGCAGCACAAGCAGCACAAGCAGCACAAGCAGCACAAGCAGCACAAGCAGCACAAGCAGCACAAGCAGCACAAGCAGCACAAGCAGCACAAGCAGCACAAGCAGCACAAGCAGCACAAGCAGCACAAGCAGCACAAGCAGCACAAGCAGCACAAGCAGCACAAGCAGCACAAGCAGCACAAGCAGCACAAGCAGCACAAGCAGCACAAGCAGCACAAGCAGCACAAGCAGCACAAGCAGCACAAGCAGCACAAGCAGCACAAGCAGCACAAGCAGCACAAGCAGCACAAGCAGCACAAGCAGCACAAGCAGCACAAGCAGCACAAGCAGCACAAGCAGCACAAGCAGCACAAGCAGCACAAGCAGCACAAGCAGCACAAGCAGCACAAGCAGCACAAGCAGCACAAGCAGCACAAGCAGCACAAGCAGCACAAGCAGCACAAGCAGCACAAGCAGCACAAGCAGCACAAGCAGCACAAGCAGCACAAGCAGCACAAGCAGCACAAGCAGCACAAGCAGCACAAGCAGCACAAGCAGCACAAGCAGCACAAGCAGCACAAGCAGCACAAGCAGCACAAGCAGCACAAGCAGCACAAGCAGCACAAGCAGCACAAGCAGCACAAGCAGCACAAGCAGCACAAGCAGCACAAGCAGCACAAGCAGCACAAGCAGCACAAGCAGCACAAGCAGCACAAGCAGCACAAGCAGCACAAGCAGCACAAGCAGCACAAGCAGCACAAGCAGCACAAGCAGCACAAGCAGCACAAGCAGCACAAGCAGCACAAGCAGCACAAGCAGCACAAGCAGCACAAGCAGCACAAGCAGCACAAGCAGCACAAGCAGCACAAGCAGCACAAGCAGCACAAGCAGCACAAGCAGCACAAGCAGCACAAGCAGCACAAGCAGCACAAGCAGCACAAGCAGCACAAGCAGCACAAGCAGCACAAGCAGCACAAGCAGCACAAGCAGCACAAGCAGCACAAGCAGCACAAGCAGCACAAGCAGCACAAGCAGCACAAGCAGCACAAGCAGCACAAGCAGCACAAGCAGCACAAGCAGCACAAGCAGCACAAGCAGCACAAGCAGCACAAGCAGCACAAGCAGCACAAGCAGCACAAGCAGCACAAGCAGCACAAGCAGCACAAGCAGCACAAGCAGCACAAGCAGCACAAGCAGCACAAGCAGCACAAGCAGCACAAGCAGCACAAGCAGCACAAGCAGCACAAGCAGCACAAGCAGCACAAGCAGCACAAGCAGCACAAGCAGCACAAGCAGCACAAGCAGCACAAGCAGCACAAGCAGCACAAGCAGCACAAGCAGCACAAGCAGCACAAGCAGCACAAGCAGCACAAGCAGCACAAGCAGCACAAGCAGCACAAGCAGCACAAGCAGCACAAGCAGCACAAGCAGCACAAGCAGCACAAGCAGCACAAGCAGCACAAGCAGCACAAGCAGCACAAGCAGCACAAGCAGCACAAGCAGCACAAGCAGCACAAGCAGCACAAGCAGCACAAGCAGCACAAGCAGCACAAGCAGCACAAGCAGCACAAGCAGCACAAGCAGCACAAGCAGCACAAGCAGCACAAGCAGCACAAGCAGCACAAGCAGCACAAGCAGCACAAGCAGCACAAGCAGCACAAGCAGCACAAGCAGCACAAGCAGCACAAGCAGCACAAGCAGCACAAGCAGCACAAGCAGCACAAGCAGCACAAGCAGCACAAGCAGCACAAGCAGCACAAGCAGCACAAGCAGCACAAGCAGCACAAGCAGCACAAGCAGCACAAGCAGCACAAGCAGCACAAGCAGCACAAGCAGCACAAGCAGCACAAGCAGCACAAGCAGCACAAGCAGCACAAGCAGCACAAGCAGCACAAGCAGCACAAGCAGCACAAGCAGCACAAGCAGCACAAGCAGCACAAGCAGCACAAGCAGCACAAGCAGCACAAGCAGCACAAGCAGCACAAGCAGCACAAGCAGCACAAGCAGCACAAGCAGCACAAGCAGCACAAGCAGCACAAGCAGCACAAGCAGCACAAGCAGCACAAGCAGCACAAGCAGCACAAGCAGCACAAGCAGCACAAGCAGCACAAGCAGCACAAGCAGCACAAGCAGCACAAGCAGCACAAGCAGCACAAGCAGCACAAGCAGCACAAGCAGCACAAGCAGCACAAGCAGCACAAGCAGCACAAGCAGCACAAGCAGCACAAGCAGCACAAGCAGCACAAGCAGCACAAGCAGCACAAGCAGCACAAGCAGCACAAGCAGCACAAGCAGCACAAGCAGCACAAGCAGCACAAGCAGCACAAGCAGCACAAGCAGCACAAGCAGCACAAGCAGCACAAGCAGCACAAGCAGCACAAGCAGCACAAGCAGCACAAGCAGCACAAGCAGCACAAGCAGCACAAGCAGCACAAGCAGCACAAGCAGCACAAGCAGCACAAGCAGCACAAGCAGCACAAGCAGCACAAGCAGCACAAGCAGCACAAGCAGCACAAGCAGCACAAGCAGCACAAGCAGCACAAGCAGCACAAGCAGCACAAGCAGCACAAGCAGCACAAGCAGCACAAGCAGCACAAGCAGCACAAGCAGCACAAGCAGCACAAGCAGCACAAGCAGCACAAGCAGCACAAGCAGCACAAGCAGCACAAGCAGCACAAGCAGCACAAGCAGCACAAGCAGCACAAGCAGCACAAGCAGCACAAGCAGCACAAGCAGCACAAGCAGCACAAGCAGCACAAGCAGCACAAGCAGCACAAGCAGCACAAGCAGCACAAGCAGCACAAGCAGCACAAGCAGCATCTTCTACCATTCCCCACAATCGCGTCTTTGAAGGGGGGTGGGGTGGTATGGCTGGGGCATGGTGAATAGAAGGAGATGGTGCAAAGAGCGTTTTGTTTTGAGACGTCTCAGTAACACTCAGGTTGATGGACATCAGACCTCCGCAGCCCACCTGTTTACTAATAACAACATCAGACCTCCGCAGCCCACCTGTTTACTAATAACAACATCAGACCTCCGCAGCCCACCTGTTTACTAATAACAACATCAGACCTCCGCAGCCCACCTGTTTACTAATAACAACATCAGACCTCCGCAGCCCACCTGTTTACTAATAACAACATCAGACCTCCGCAGCCCACCTGTTTACTAATAACAACATCAGACCTCCGCAGCCCACCTGTTTACTAATAACAACATCAGACCTCCGCAGCCCACCTGTTTACTAATAACAACATCAGACCTCCGCAGCCCACCTGTTTACTAATAACAACATCAGACCTCCGCAGCCCACCTGTTTACTAATAACAACATCAGACCTCCGCAGCCCACCTGTTTACTAATAACAACATCAGACCTCCGCAGCCCACCTGTTTACTAATAACAACATCAGACCTCCGCAGCCCACCTGTTTACTAATAACAACATCAGACCTCCGCAGCCCACCTGTTTACTAATAACAACATCAGACCTCCGCAGCCCACCTGTTTACTAATAACAACATCAGACCTCCGCAGCCCACCTGTTTACTAATAACAACATCAGACCTCCGCAGCCCACCTGTTTACTAATAACAACATCAGACCTCCGCAGCCCACCTGTTTACTAATAACAACATCAGACCTCCGCAGCCCACCTGTTTACTAATAACAACATCAGACCTCCGCAGCCCACCTGTTTACTAATAACAACATCAGACCTCCGCAGCCCACCTGTTTACTAATAACAACATGGTGAATAGAAGGAGATGGTGCAAAGAGCGTTTTGAGACGTCTCAAAACACTCCTTTTTTCACAGAGCGTGATGTTGCTATGGGATTCGGGCACGACCTGTGCTTGAAAGCGTGCTGGTTGAGGGCGAAGCGGAGAGAGAAGTAGAGAGGGGAAAGCTGGGGTGGAGGAGGGGAAGGATAGCGCAAAGATAGTGGTTCTTGTGTCGACTAATATTTGGGCTCTAGTTTGACTCAAAATTTTACATTTGGGTCGACTCAACAATAGCGGAAAGAGGGTGGTGCTACTGGGGCTCGGGCACGTAAGAACGCCCTGCTGTGCGCCGGGCGTGGTAGTGGGTGTTTCCACAGAATTTGTGTAGGTATTATGCATGTTCTGAGTCGACTCAAAACACGGTCACAAGCTCACTTGGCAGTGGCGATGGACTCAAACAGCAGCAGCTCCACCGCCTCAAAGAGAGACTCTGCTGCTGCTCCCGGCCGCTGCTGCCCCTGCACCTGCCCCACACTACCATCCCCCACACTCCTCCCTGCCACGCCTGCTTCACCACTGCCACTGCTACCACCACCACCACCGCCACCACCGCCAGCGCTGCTGCTGCTGCTACTGGTGTCAGTCTTGCCGCTGCCGCCGCTGCTGGTGCTGCTGGTGGCGGTGGTAAGGGTTGCTGCAGTGGCGAGGGTGGAAACAGCTGAAGCATACTCGCCTGAGAGCCAACACAGGTGCAGCACCAACGTGTGCTGCCATGGGCCACGGAGGCAGGGGGACAGAGGGGGCAGAAGGGGCAGGGGCGCAGAGCAGCAGGAGGGCAGGTGGACAGCGGGAGCAGGGGAGGGGGAATGAGAGGGGCGGAAGCCAGTTGAGGCATGAGTTGTGACTGCTTTACATTTGAGGCGCCTCAGAAACAATAGTGAGTCATGAGTTGTGACTGCTATACTGCTGTCGCATTGCCACAGCACCAAGAGCTTCAAGTCGCGGCACTTGCACGCACAGACTAGACTGGCTGGCCAGCACGCTTCAATGCAGGGGAGCAGAGGGGGCAAACAATAGGAACTCGAACAAAGTCACGTGTGGTCAAAGGACTAGGCTTGCTGTGGTACCAAGAAATACCTACCTGGGCCATTGACGTAATCGGAGCAGTGATGACGTGCACTATGGTGGGCTGGCATGCACAGGGAAACTCACAGAATGCTTCAATGACTTCAGCGGTTACCTGGGCCATGGATGTAATCGGAGCAGTGATGACGCGAACTATGGTGGGCTGGCATGGACAGGGGGAATGGCGGGAAAGAGGGGCCACCATGGGGATCAGGGGGAAGGGGGAAAGAGGGACGAGGGGAAGGGGGAATAGGGGAATAGGGGAAAGTGGGGAAGGGGAAAAAGCGGCAAGGGGGGAAGGGGAGGATTTCTGAAACGTCTCAAAAGCAGTTTACAAGGTAGGGGTTAAGGAAGAAAGGAGAAGGTTTTTGAGAATTCTCAAAAACCGTCTCAAAAGCAGTTTATAAGGTAGGGGTTAAGGAAGAAAGTCGATTTTTGAGTCGACTCAAAAATCTGAAACGTCTCAAAAGCAGTTTACAAGGTAGGGGTTAAGGAAGAAAGGAGAAGAGGAGGGGAGGGGAGGAGAGAAGCTACAACAGTTTAGCGAGGGTGTTAGAAGCGACGGCTGTCCGAGTAATGGACACATGGGAAAGCACGGCATGTGGTTGGGTCATGGTACGTGGCAGCACCTAAACGATTGATTGATTGATTGGTGCTCATTACCTGTACAGCGAGCAGCAGCGCGGGGCACAGCCTGAAGAGCACGAGCATGGTGTGCAGGCACAGCTGCTGCACCTGTGAGGAAGGCACACAGCACAGCAAAGCACACATCGGAAGGGAAGTTGGAAAGCGAGTAAGGAGCTGATTTTCTGGTGTGACTAGAGCACGAGCATGGTGTGCAGGCACAGCTGCTGCACCTGTGAGTGAGGCACACAGCATGGGGGAAGGGAGGGAAGGAGGGAGAGGGGAGCAATGGGGGAGGGAAGGCGGAAGAGCAGCAGAACAGAGGGTGCTTCCTGCGATGCGTGCAAGCTCTACCACACATGGAGCTGGTAGGTGGCATTGGAAAAGAGCGAATCTTGAGGCTTATCACACGTCTCGCTAAGAAATTGGGAAGACCGTGTTCAATCAAGGCACTATCAAACCTCCACCGCAGCTGGTGCTGATAGGTAGGTGGCACTGGGGATTGACATTGAAGCGTCTACAAGAGTGAGCTCAAGCGCACCTGATGCTGGTAGGTAGGTGGAACTGGGAAGAATGAATCTTGAGGCTTATCACACGTCTCGCTAAGAAAGAAAGATATGGTTGGTGCTGGTAGGTAGGTGGTACTGGGGATTGACTTGTAAGCATCTTCAGGAGTGAGCTCAAGCGCACCTGGTGCTGGTAGGTGGCACTGGGGTAAAGCGCGTCGAAGCGGGTCATCATGACTGGCAGCAGCGCCCTCCACTCATCTGCACGTGCCGGGCCCGGCGAGCAACAGCAGGCGAGAGGGAAACAGCGAAACAAGAGACACACAGTACACGGCCAAAGGAGAGAGGGTCGGAGGGTCGGAAGGAGAGAGAGAGGGAGCGAGGGAGGCACTTTAGATGGCATGGCAGCGAGGAAGGTCCCTGGTAGGAGAATCCTCACATCCGAGGCAGAGAGAGAGGGCCCTGTTGTTGGTTGTTGAGAATTCTCAGAACGACCTTGCTGCCTTGGATTGTATAGCTCTGGTGTCCTCTGAGAATTCTCAGAGGGCCCTCCTGTCAACCACATCCCTCTCACCTTGCCCCATGCCTGTTAGGACCGACTCCAGCAGAGCATCCAGCAAGTGAGGCGCCATGGCAAGTGGGCCTCTGTCTACTCACCCTCCTTTCAATTCAGCCCCTGCCATCCCCTCACCTTGCCCCATGCCCGTTAAAACCGACTCCAGAAGCGCATCCAGCAGGTGAGGCGCCATGGCAAGGCACTCCCCTCTACCCACACTCTTGTCAACCCCAAACCCCCTTCACCTTGCCTCAGCTCATCCCCTGCTCACCTTGCCCCATGCCCGTCAAAACCGACTCCAGGAGAGCATCCAGCAGGTGAGGCGCCATGGCAACGCACCCTTCCAAACCCACTCCCTCCAACTCCATCCTTCCCGAGTAATCCCCTGCTCACCTTGCCCCATGCCTGTTAGAACCGACTCCAGAAGAGCATCCAGTAGGTGAGGGGCCATGGCAAGGCACTCCTGCAGACACAGTCCCTGCAACTCCAACCCTCCCACCTTCCAACCCTCCAACCCTAAGCCTCTCACCTTGCCCCATGCCTGTTAAGACTGTCTCCAGAAGAGCGTCCAGCAGGTGGGGCGCCATGGCAAGGCACTCCTGCAGCCGCTTCTCATTCTCCCGGGCGTCTTCCCTCAACCCCTCACTAAACGCCTCCGCTGCCGCTGCCGCCGCTGCAGCCGCAGCTGCCGCTGGTGTCACTCCTCCTGCTCCTGCTGCTCCCGCTGCTGCTGGTGTTGGTGTTGATGGTCTTGGTGTTACAATTGCTGCTCGAGATGCAGTAACAGGAGAGCCTATATCAGTTCCACCACCCTCCGCTCCTGCTCCTCCTGCTCCTGCTCCTCTTCCTGCTCCTCCTCCTGCTCCTGCTGCATCCTTCTTAGCAGGACTCCCTGCTTTCCCAATACCTCTCCCAGCAAATCCATCACTGCCACCCCCACCACCTCCGTCCCCACCCCCACCACCTCTGTCCCCTACACTCGCCCACCGCCCCTCCCCCTCCCCCTGCGCCCTCCCTCCCTCTCCCCCTGCCTCTCTCCCTCCCCCGTAAACGCCTCCTTGCCTGTCACCCCTCTCACCCCGCTCACCCCCATCACCCCCATCATCTCTGTCCGCGTTATGAGCAGCTCCAGCTGTCTGCCTACGGGCCTCAGTGAGCAGGGCTTGGGAGAATCCCGGCAGGCGCCACATCACCGCCTCCTGCTGCCTGCGCGACCCCACCTGGCTAGTAGGAGTGTTGCAGGGAAGCGAGACACAGGGACAGGGGGGCAGGGGGCAGGAGGGCAGAAGGACAGGAAGGCATAGGGGCAGGCAGGGGAATAGCGAGCAGGGCTTAAGGCAGGCGCCACATCACCGCCTCCTGCTGCCTGCGCGACCCCACCAGGCGAGTAGGAGGACAGGAGGGTAGGACGGCAGGAGGGCAGCAAAACGGTTTGCAATTGTAGAGGTTTAACTGAGTACGCTTTTGAGAAAATTCGCAAAAACACCACGTACATAACCCGCACATGCCCTCACTTCACTCTCAAACACTCACCTCCGCCTCCCCTGCAGCCAGCTCATCTATAAGCATTTACGATATCAGCACTGCCAGAGCTGCCGGCGCCACATGTTGAGTCGACTCATAAGGCCATCTCACGCTATCCTCCTTCCTACCAAACACCCATCTCACATACTCACCTCAGCCTCGCCCGCAGCCAGCTCATCTATAAGCATACACATTTTCAGCACCGGCAGTGCTTCAGGGGCCATCTTTGGAGTCGACTCAAAAGGGCCACCTCACACTCTCCTCGCCTCACCTCACTCTTCAAAAGCCCATCTCAAACACTCACCTCAGCCTCGCCCGCAGCCAGCTCATCTATCAGCATCCACGATATCAGCACCGCCAGTGCTGCCGGCGCCATTCCCCCATCCGCTCCCCTCTCCCCTCCCACCCTCCCTACACCCATCCCCCCCACCCCAGCCCCCCCACCCCCACCTCCCCCTGGTTTCTTCCCCCCTGCGCCCTTCCCCCCTCCAGCAGCAGCAACAGCAGCGCCCCCAGCACCACCAGCAGCGGCACCACCACCGCCACCAATACCACCACCGCCAACCCCAACAGCAGCACCGCCAGCAGCAGCAGCAGCAGCAGCGGCAGCGGAAGAGGCGGTTTCTGGTGGTGGCTTGCTCGCAGGCAGGTTGGGGTCGCTCTCGCTGTCGTTGTCTGCTGTGCCCGTGAAGCCAAAGTCCATAAGTGCTAGCACGTCCTGGGTGATGACAGGGAGAGGGGAAGGGGAGTTGGATGTGGAAGCTGAGGAGCTGAGGAAAGGGGAGGGGAGCTGAGGAGTAAGGAAAAGGGGAAGTGGGGAGGGATCGCTCTCGCTGTCGTTGTCTGCCGTGCCTGTGAAACCAAAGTCCATAAACGCTAGCACGTCCTGGCGATGCATGGCAGGAGGAGGGGGAAGTGGGGAGGAGAGTTGGGGAACGGGGAAGTGGATTGGGGTCGCTCTCGCTGTCGTTGTCTGCCGTGCCTGTGAAGCCAAAGTCCATCAGTGCTAGCACGTCCTGGCGATGCATGGGGGAGCGGATGTGGCAGGGAGCGGGGGAAAGGGGGGAGGGGAGTTGGGGAGAAGTAGGTGAAAGGGGAAGTGAAGAGAAGTTGCTCTCGCTGTCGTTGCCTGCCGTGCTAGTGAAGCCAAAGTCCATCAGTGCTAGCATGTCCGGGCGATGCATCGCAGGGGATGGAAGGGCGATGCATGGAGGGAAAGGCAGGAGGGGAGACGATTTGGAAAGCCCGGGGGGGGGAGGGGAGGATAATGGAGGAGTGGAGGGGAGTGAGGGAGGGGAAGAGGGGAGACCAAGTGGTGGTGAGAGGGTCAGGGCTTGTCGTTGGTTGCTGCTGTGCGTGTGAAGCCAAAAGAAACATGCTTATAGCTGGCGTGCGGTCACTCAAGTATTAACTGGCGTGGTGTGGGGTCAGTCACTCACATCACATCAACAGCTGGCTCCACTGCAGCAGTCATGAGCTCGCATCCGAGAATTCTCAAATTTAGAAGTAAAACACTACGAGTATAACTGGCGTGGGGCCAGCTAGCCTGTCAGGCCACTCACATCAGCAGCTGGCTCTGCTGCTGCAGCCATGAGGGTGGACGCCCTGCCGCCTGCTGACATGCCCAGGGCGATGGCCAGCACTGCAAGAGAGGAGGGGAGTGGGAGGGAATAGACGCAGGAGGTTGGTTGAGTGACAGGCAAGTGCCGGTACAACAAGAAAAACAACAAAAAAACAGGGAGCAGGACCGCAGGGGCGGGGAGCAGGGAGCAGGGAAAAAAACAGGGAGCAGGGAGCAGGGAGCAGGGAGCAGGGAGCAGGGAGCAGGGAGCAGGGAGCAGGGAGCAGGAAGGCATGAAGCACCTGGGAGGTCAATGATTCGGAGGAAGAGGGGGATGAGCGAGGAGGAGGAGAGAAGGTCCGGGATGAGCTGTGTGAACTGAGGCAACACACTGGAGGGAGAGGGTTGGGAGATGGGAGGGGTAAGGGGAGGACAGAAAGGATAAGTTTTGAGGCGGCTCAAAAAATGGATGAGCGAGGAGGAGGACAGCAGGTCCGGGATGAGCTGTGTGAACTGAGGCAGCACGCTGGATGGAGAGGGTTGGGAGATGGGAGGGGGAAGGGGGAGACAGAGAAGGGATGTGATTGGAGCCAGAGGAGGGATGGGAGGGGAGGAGGAATGGGGAGGAGGGAAGGATAGGAGAGTGAAGGAGGAGAATGAGCTGTGGGGGAGAATGAGCTGTGCGAGGAGAATGAGCTGTGAACACATGACGCATGATGCTTGATGCCTCATGCTTCAATGCATGAGGCATGGGAGAACCAGGATCAGAGCATGCGCCTTTGAGGGAAGAGGGGGGGGTAATAACTCTAGGCGCATATAGGAAAGACCAAAAGCTTTTGAGACGCTTGGACTCAGCGCTTGGGACTCGCTTGGACTCACTCACATGCTGCCGTGTGATGCGAGGGTCTTGAGTAGAAGTGGCAGGTGCTGGTGGGGGATGGGCAGGGGCGAGGCAAGGAGAAGGCATGGGGGAGCGGCAAGGGGGGGGGGGGCAAGGGGGAGGGGCAAGGGGGAGGGGCAAGGGGGAGGGGCAAGGGGGAAGGGCAAGGGTGAGGGGCAAGGGGGAGGGGCAAGGGTGAGGGGCAAGGGGGAGGGGGCAAGGGGGAGGGGCAAGGGGGAGAGACAAAGCGAGAGAAACACCGAGGAACAGGGTGAGTGAGATTCGATGTGGTTTTTGAGAATTCTTAAAAACCAGAGTGAGATTCGACAGGATGCGCACACTGAAGCAAGCGGTAGAAACGGGGAGCGGTGCGTGCGGATGGTGAAGCAGCCGCAGGAGGGAATGGAGGGCACGCGAACGAAAATGGGAGAGAGAGACGGGGGCATATGGGGGTGGGGGGGGGGGGGGGGGGGGAAGGGGGACAGTGGGACAGGGCGAACGGGGGAGACGTGGGGGGACGGAGATAACGAGCAGGAATCTGGTGCAAAGGAGACGTGGTGAAGGGGTTAGAGAGAGCGTTGTGTGGCGCACCTGCTGGAGAATGCGGGGGTGGGAGTGGCGCAGAGGCAGGCGGCAGGAGGCGAAGAAGGAGAAGCACTCTCGTGCAGCCATAGGGTCCCAGAACCAGCTGCGAGGAAAGGGAGGGACAGAAAGGGCTTTTGAGGCGCCTCAAAAGAAGCACTCTCGTGCAGCCATAGGGTCCCAGAACCAGCTGCGAGGAAAGGGAGGGACAGAAAGGGCTTTTGAGGCGCCTCAAAAGAAGCACTCTCGTGCAGCCATAGGGTCCCAGAACCAGCTGCGAGGAAAGGGAGGGACAGAAAGGGCTTTTGAGGCGCCTCAAAAGAAGCACTCTCGTGCAGCCATAGGGTCCCAGAACCAGCTGCGAGGAAAGGGAGGGACAGAAAGGGCTTTTGAGGCGCCTCAAAAGAAGCACTCTCGTGCAGCCATAGGGTCCCAGAACCAGCTGCGAGGAAAGGGAGGGACAGAAAGGGCTTTTGAGGCGCCTCAAAAGAAGCACTCTCGTGCAGCCATAGGGTCCGAGAACCAGCTGCGAGGAAAGGGAGGGACAGAAAGGGCTTTTGAGGCGCCTCAAAAGAAGCACTCTCGTGCAGCCATAGGGTCCCAGAACCAGCTGCGAGGAAAGGGAGGGACAGAAAGGGCTTTTGAGGCGCCTCAAAAGAAGCACTCTCGTGCAGCCATAGGGTCCGAGAACCAGCTGCGAGGAAAGGGAGGGACAGAAAGGGCTTTTGAGGCGCCTCAAAAGAAGCACTCTCGTGCAGCCATAGGGTCCCAGAACCAGCTGCGAGGAAAGGGAGGGACAGAAAGGGCTTTTGAGGCGCCTCAAAAGAAGCACTCTCGTGCAGCCATAGGGTCCGAGAACCAGCTGTGAGTGGCGGGAAGGCGGGAAGGGGAGGGGGGGAGGGGCGAGGGGGAGGGAGGGGGACAGGGGAAAGGGAAGGCGGGAGATGAGTGGGGGAAAACAGAGAAACGACGTGTGTGGTGATGGTGGCGTGTATGATAACGACGTGGGTTAAGGTCGGAAATGGGAGAGGGGTGGGGGGAGGTTGCAGGGGGGATAGGGGAGAAAGGAGAGGGGAGAGGGGAGACGGGAGAGGGGAGACGGGAGACGGGAGATGGGAGACGGGAAAGGGGAGAGGGAAGGGGGAGAGGGAAAGGGGAGAGGGAAGGAGATCACGTATGCATGTTGACGTGTGTCTGTGTGCATACTGGCTGATGCCAAAATCCCACTGCCTAAGCCCATGCTGTGTAATATGTTTCCGCACACATGCCCCTGTCCATGTCAAAGCCACTGTGCAGACGAGATGACGTGAGGAGAGGAGAGGAGAAGGGCGTGAGGAGAGGCGAGGCAGCGTACGTACGAGGGGAGGCAGGAGGTCATGAGGGTGTTGAGAGCGGTGTCTAGAGGTAGCAGCCCCTCCTCCCCTGCTGCTAGGAAGAAGCGCAGAGATGCCTGCAGAACGGGTGGGGTCGGAAGAGGGAGGGAGGGAAGGCTTGGCACGTTTGAGGGGAGGAGAGTGATTGGATGGGGTGGAGAGAAGAGTCAAGAAAGAATGTGAGGGAAACAGAGTTGTGTGGATGCCTCTACAGTTAATATGCTACATGCGATGTGGAAAGGGAGGGCTTATACGAAGGAGAGGGGCCACTGCAGCTTTTCTAAGGGTCCTTGAAAAGAGAAGGCAGGGGGAGGGGGGTTTGGGTGGGGTAAAGGGAGGGAGGAGGAGAGCGAGGATACGGAGAGATAACGACTGGGAATTTGCCTTTGAGGCGAATCAAAAGAAGGGGTTGAAAGGGGGGTGGGGGAGGGGGGCGCGGTGTCTTACAACGAGGAGCGGAGCTGCAGAGGGTGGGGGACGGGAGAGGGAGGAGCGGTGGGCGGAGGGAGTGAAGAGGCGGTGCACGAGGCGGTTGAGATGCGGCAGCACCTGGTGCTCCCACTTCTCCCTCCGCTGCTGCTGCACCTGCTGCTGATGGCGATGGTGCCCATGATTGTGGTGCCTGTTCACACCTCGTGCATCTGGACCGTCCACGTGGCCCAGGAAGATGAACTGGTGAAGACGCCGCACCTGAAAACCGGGGAATCGGCACGAAATGGCGGAGGCCGGGGGGGCGAAGGATTGGCATGTTCAGTCCACCAATGGCGTCGATATGAATGATAACTGATGCAGCGGATATAAGAGAGAAGGAAGGAAACAGAGAGATGATAGGCAGGTGCGAATAAGAAAATTTAGGAAGAGGCGGAATCAGGGGGGCTCCGGATTCCGGAACGACGCGGCGACGGCCACCTGCTGCGTGAGGAACGGCCAGTCGACGGCGCTGCTGTCGCCGCCGGAGCTGGGAGGGCGGCCGTCGCCGCCCGCGCCTCCTACGCGAGTGCGCGGCAGCTGGATGATGGCGCGCAAGCACCGCTCTATCTCCTCCTCCTCCGCCTCCTCGGCGGATAGTCTCGCCGCCATCTGCGCTGTGGTGTGGTTTTGTGTGTCTCTCGCCTTGTGAATTCGCTCCAAGTAGTAAGGACGTGTCACCTCCCTCTATCGATCCTGCGCAGGATCGATTTTTAAATCGGTTAGAAACGTTGTAAGTGCGGTGTAGCAGATTGGATTTGACACTTTCTTATAGTGAAACCGTTTGCATACAGTCAGAATGCAGAGCACAGAATTATACCTTTTTAGAGTACGGGCAGTTTATAAAATGTGAGAAATAAATTTTGAGATAAAATGCTGTAGACGATAATGAAAAAATGAACCAGAAATTAAAATAAATATTTTAAAGGAAAAAACTGGAAAATTAGCCTTACGATGGATGCAAAGGCAGAGAAAATGATGAGTTAGTGTAAAAATGCTGCAAACCGAGGGCTTGTTTGTAAGCAAGTGCATAGTGCAGCACATAATAATCGGGATAATATTCTGGACGCTTGTTTTCTTTATACAACCGAAATGTAAGGTGTGAGCAGCAGTATCATGTAATGAATCCAAACTTGAATTGGTATGATTAGTATAGGAGCAGCCAGATAGAGGTGCACCTTTATAACGACTCGTTACTGTTGGTGACAGCCTCCATACGAAACCTCATTTTCGCTGGTGTTCAGGCTTGCGGCGCATGTACTGCACGAATGTTGTTTCCCGACAGCCCCCGCCTGGAGCCCAGTGATTTGGCGGGACACGGATGCGATACGAGGTGCGAGACATCTCCTGTAACGCTGCATCGCGAAACATTTGCGAATCTCGCATAGTCGCCCGCCTGCCGCACGGCCGTCTTGCTCTCCAAACGAACACCTTCGGTTCGGTTCCTCGAGAAAAGCGCGGGAACGGATTTCACAGAAACGGTGGAGGATAGATTGAAGGAACAGATATTGGTTCTGTACGGTGGAGAGGGTAATTTTGCCACTTGTGTCAGCCACATCTGCCAAGGTCAAAGCTTGTTGATTTCTTGATTGTGTTTACCGTACGAGCCTAGAATGGTGACTTTTAGTTTCACAACGTAGGGTCGACGGAGAACGACGTCGAGTTCAAGCCATGGCGCGAGCATCGTTACACAGTGTCCGCTTACGCTCACCGTTCGCGAGCTACTTACCGACAGCGTCTTTATTCCGTGCCGTCGCTCTCCTGGTGCTGGTAATCGTGCTAGTTGTACCGCATCAGTCACTCTCCGCTGCCTTCCCGCACAACCACTCCGCCTCGGGAATCACCGCGGTGAACTGGGTGGCGAGCTACCCTGAATATGGGGACTCGCGCGAGTCGTCGCTTGACCCGTCGCACGAGTCGCATAATGCGAATGAGCGTCGCACGAGCCTTCTTGAGAGGGTGTCGCGGGCAGCGACCCCAACATTGCTCGATGACAGTCAGCGTAAGCCCTAGTAGCCTCACGCGTTTCCCCTGTCACAGCAAGCCGCTACTCGTTGCCTTGTTCTGCCATTCTTCCACCTCGGTCGTCCTGCGTTTTCGCCTCATCCCACACCACGCTACACCACACCACACCCATTGTCCATGCCTTCCGCTGTTTCACGCGCTGCGTTTGAATCCTTCTATCGCCGCACGTTTCAAAAGTTGGCTACTCACCCACGTCGCTTCCTTGGGCTCTTACCCTGTGTAGCAACGGCTTCACTCGTTGTGCTCCGCGCCGTGTGTGTTTGTACTTTTAAGGCGCTTCAGAATTCGTTCCTTACCCTGCTTGAATGTGCCTCACTCTTTGTGCTCCTCGCCGTGTGTGGTTCCCTCGCCCCGCCCCGCCCCGCCCCGCCCCGCCCCGCCTCGCCCCGCCCCGCCTCGCCTCGCCTCGCCTCGCCTCGCCTCGCCTCGCCTCGCCTCGCCTCGCCTCGCCTCGCCTCGCCTCGCCTCGCCTCGCCTCGCTCGCTACACGTCGTCTGGGCATTTGTGCTGTTTGCACCGGGCCATGCACGGGGGGGAGGAGGGTGCACGGGGCGGGCGGGGCGGGAGGGCACGGCAGTGCGCGCGCTGGTGGCGCTGAACGCCGCGTGGCAGCTGTGGCCGTCCAACTCCAACCGCTCACGGCGCTGCGACCAGTGGGCTTATGTCCAGTGCAACGCGCAGGGATTTATCATTTCAGTGTACGTCCAGTGGGTGAGAGGCCAGTGGCAGTACATCCAGTGCAACGCGCAAGGCTTTATCGTTTCCGTGTACGCAGCTCTCTTCCCTTCTCTGGTGTGCTGTGCTCCGGTGCGACCAGTGAGAGTACACCCAGTGCAACGCGCAAGGTTTTATTACTGCCGTGTATGTCGCTATGTGTGCTCTGGTGTGGTGCGGTGTGCTGAGGTGCTGTGCGCTCTGGTCCGGGGACTGCAAGCGAGCGCTGTGGGGGAAAGACATGAAGTGTGGGTTGTTGCTTGCAAGCACTTGGGGCAGTGTGACTATCAGTTGTGGGCCATTTCTTCAGAAGAGTTAAGGGGAAGTTCAAGAGATCAGTGTAGCGTGTGTGTTTTGTGTGAACCCTTGCACATGTATGCATCATGTTTAAATCTCTTGAATGCATCACCTTGTTCTGTGCATGCAGCGTTCCGCCTTTCATCGAGAACAATGTGACCATGCCTCTCAACGTCTTCTCCGCCATGCCTTACCTCAGACGCCTGTGAGTCGAGTCTGTCGCCTCCATACGGCTGGCCCCCCTCTTCTCCCCCCCTTCCCTCCCCATCCATCCACACACCTTGGCTTCATGTGTCTCCCATCCATTCCTCCAACGCTGTTAGACTACCTTCAGTCTTGCTTTGTATCAAACCTAAACGACACTTGGTGTTATTTCGGTTTTATTCTATCAGTCGGAATGCTTCGTTGTCAATACTCCTGTCTTCGGCCCTTCTCTTTACCATCCCCCATCTACCCTTGTTCCCTTTTCTCTGCATGCCGATTATCATTCATCCCAACCCTAATACACCCTTTCCTCCCCTCATACACCCTTACTCTTCTTCCTTCCTCCGCCCTCCCCAACCACGCACCTCTCGGGCCCTCACCTCACCCACCACTCCCTCATCCCCCTCTCTCCCAACCCAACCCCCACCCCCACCTCCCCTTCCCCTTCTCCGCCCCTGTTGCCCCCTCCCCCCCCACCGCCAGTGTGCTATCAGAGGCCTACAATGTCCGAGGCTCCATTTCAAACCTTGCACTGCCCCCCTCCCTGCGCGTGCTGTGAGTGCTGCCAGTGCCTTCCTGCCTTTCGCTTCTGGATAAGAATGAGGCAGAATCTGTTTGATCAAGGGTTGGCAAGCTGTGCTGCTGTGGTGGTGCACCAGGACCGACAGTTGGAAGCAATATTATTTTCACTGCAGTGCACATGATGGGATACGTGTATTGTATTTAGGTGGGTTTACATGCATGGTTGCGGTGGCTTGAGTGACATGTCCCAAACAAGCGCCACTGGCGAGAGGGTTGCCTTTCTTGCGTGGGGTCTATTATTGACCTTTCTTACCAGCACAGCACCTTTGTTTCAGTTCCACTTGCGTGTTGTACCATCGTCCAACGCAAACAGAAGCAGTCAACAAGGATCTTGGCTGTTGCATGTAATCCAAGTAGCACAGCCTGGGCTTCCTCTCCTTCTGTTCACTCCCTCCGATCTGTAATTCGTACGTCTTCCCCACGTAACGTGGGCAGGGACATGTTTGGGATTGGAGTAACTGGTTCGCTACCATCCTCCATCCTCTCGCTCTCAGCTCTCGCACACCTGTGAGTGCAATCAGTCTCCCAGGCCAGGGCACACTCGGATTTCAATACCCGAGACTCACCTCTTACATGATGCCTGCCGCCCACCTTCGTTCACATTCACACACCTTTCGTTCACATTCACATGCTTGAGTTGAGCCAGGGGATGGCAGTTACATATCATAATTCTCCTGCAAAGCATCCCAAAAGCAATGACAGTCACAGGGTCGTCTCTGCCTCTTCCAATGCCTCCATTCCTCTTCTGCTGCCCCTCTTTTGCCCACACCCACCTCCCCCCACCCACCCCCATCCCACCCTGCGCCAGAGACATTGGTCGCACTTTTGTCTCTGGGAGCCTGCCCTCCTCTCTCACCCGCCTCTCCCGCCTCACATTCCTGTCAGTTTTCTTCTCCACCTTCTTCTGGTCCTTTTTTTTTGCATCAGTTGCTTTTTTATTATCTTCAATCCTTTATATCCCCCCCATCCATGCGCGTGAATGGTTGCGTCCCATGTGTTCGTTTACGCAGATTGCCCCCTGTGCCATGTTGTATTGTATCTGCTGGGGGGTCACTTAGTTGCGCTTGGCCGTTCCTTCATTTTGAATCCAATTGGCACTCCTGCGTGATTCCTTTCCTTGCTCTCCTTCTCCAACGATTTCTTTGCGCACCTGCCTTCCTGATCGTCTTTACTTGTTGGGCCCAAGCGAACAGCACTGAGCCCATGTGGGGTGAAATGCACTGAGCCCATGTGGGGTGGGTGGCAAACTTTGTTGGGTCACTTGGGTCATAATGTGGTTTATCCACTCTACACTTAAAACTAGAGCATGTTAGTGCTTTCTTGTTATAACAATCCACCCCTTCCTCCGATTCCTTATGCCCATCCCTTCCTGGCCTGTCAGCAACAGCTGCAACTCTCCCAACTCTCTCCACACCCTTCTCACACTCCCCTTCCCTCCCTGGTCCTCCTCTCCTCCCCCCAGCAACATCGGAGCAGAGAAAATCACCGGGCGTTTGGAGGACTTTTCGTGGATCTCAAGTCTCACCAACCTGCGCTTTCTGTATGCCCCGCATCCTCTCTGTATGCCCTGCATCCTCTCTGCATGCCCCGCATCCTCTCTGTATGCCCTGCATCCTCTCTGCATGCCCCGCATCCTCTCAAGCATGTGGTATGTTCTGCTGCTAGTGCTGGCTCTGTGTGTGTGTGTGCTGTTGCTAGGGCTCGCTCTGTCTATATCCGTGTAGGTAAGAAGGTTAACAGCAGGCAGCGATCTATAGTTTGGTCAAGCTGAGCAGGTACATGTGTCAGTCTTACATTTTTCGCATGCGATTCCGCTGGCCAGCCATTGGAACATAGGGTAAATGAAGACTGGGGCACACATAAGGATTCACGGATTGTGGAATCTGTCTAGACTGAATTGAAATAGCACGCTTCCACTTAATTTCAACTATTGCTGCTGCTCCGCTGGCTACCTCCCGGCGCACTCATGCTCATCAAGTGAAGTCAGTCTACCATGCCGCACACATGCGCAACGCATTGCTTACATGCATGATGCATACATGCTCTGACCTGATGTACGCTTGCTGTTGCACTTGCACCATAACTCAACTGCACACCCCTCTCGTGTTACACCGAACTTCACAAATCGTTGTGTGCCACGACAATTCTTTCACCAATCTACCTGTAAATATTATATTTCTCTGCATTCTGTGTACGCATTTGGTTCTTCTTGCACCTGCGGCCTCACGAGGTTCTTTACTGGTTCTCCGGAGAAGCATAATGCATCCCCCCTTGCTCATCTTGGAAATGCTGTGTCACCTTTTCAATCCTTCTGCCACCACATCCTATTCTTTGTTCAGCCAGAGCTGTTTGCTTTGCACTTATCCCTCTCAGGTGCCTGTGCGTTGCAGTATTCCAGACTGATATATCCATGATCCTTTTTTTTTTTTTTTTTTTTTCTCTCTGATTTTCTCCCGTGCACCCATGGCAACATACCAGTGAGTTGAGTTACATGCTGAGCTTGGATGGAGATCTCTCGTCGCTCACATATCTCACCGCCCTCAGATCCATTCAGAGCCTGTAAGAGTGATGTGACGACGGCACAAGAAATGATAAGTATGTTCAAGAAGTTTCCTCGTTTTTTCATCTGTGTGATTGAATGGTAGCAGCAAGCAAGGTGTGCGTATATCCTTGCACACATTCCTGCAGCAGCGGTATATAGACCTTGCATTCACTTTCTCGTTTTTGGAAAAGCTCATAAATGTGCTGCTGCAATTATGATGCACCACCAGACCAGTTATCACTCAGACCTCTGCCTGCTACGTGTTTGCAGCACTATATCAGCAAGCTTCTGGACTGGAGAACTGGTTTTTGAGAATTCTCAAAAACCAGCTCGTATCACTCAGACCTCTGCCTGCTACGTGTTTGCAGCACTATATCAGCAAGCTTCTGGACTGGAGAACTGCCTGTGCTCCTCGGCTCCATCACTTCCCTCACCTACTTGTGAGCTCTCTGTGACATCTTTAAGGCTTTACCTCCCTTAGTCTCACCGCTTGGCTTTGCTGGCAGCACTTCCATTTGTCATGTATTCTGGCCTGGAGTCCATAAACCGCAGCACAAGCCAATCAAGAGTAGCAGTCGGGTAAGAGAAACTGGAGCATTGCAAAGAAGGTTGAATTGCGGATATATATATATATATATATATATATATATATATATATATATATATATTGATGTATATATAACTTATTGACTTGATAGTCGAGCTTCGCTTGAGAGAAACAAAAAAACCGGTCAAGTTTTGCTCAGCTCAAACTCCAGCAGCACTGGAGGCTCGTCGATTCAACTCGATTTGCCAAATGCTCATGCTAGAAGTGAAAGCTCCTGTTAGTGTTGGATGTGGGACCCTTTTTTAACCACAGACAAGTGCAGGTGTCCTTGTAAACTCTGGTTAACCCAGCTGTTGGAAGCTCTGATAAATTAATCATGAGCCCTAGAAGGAAACCCCCAATCCTCCCCTTTCCGTCCCCCCCTCACCCCTCAATCCCCCTCCTACCACTCCGACATTGACTTAATAGATAAGGGCGTGTAACAAATTCCGTCCGGACGGAGGCCCGTCCGGACTTTGGTAGGGCTACTATATTCGTCAAAGTTCGCAAACAAGTTCGCATGGCCTCATGCGACGTCAGCATCGTCTTGACAGTGTTTGACACTTCTTTCGTCAGATTGGTGCCGGACCACCCTCCTCACACCGTCCGAACGGTAAAGCGGACCATCCGTCCATGCTGCGCTGTCATTAGCGAACGAACTCCAATTTATAATTTCGAAAATGCCTGTTACATCTCGCAGGGAAATTTGATTTTTGCAAATGCAAAAAGTGTCACATACGAGGTCCGGACGGGACATAGTCTGATCTGAACGTGTTTCCCAAACGTCCGGACGGAGCTCCGTCTGGACGGTTTGGATGCCACGTCTGGACTTTGGACCCTGTCGGAAAAAGCCACACGCCCTAAGGCTTGCATGTAACAGTGCATCCTCATTCTTTTTCTTCTACCATACTTGCAAGCAATCTGTTGGGCCAATCCTCTCTAGTTATGCAAATGCCGACACGCCATCATGGGAGCACAGCATTAATCGTTTTCTGTTTCTGGTAGAAGAAACCACGGGTGCTGGCACATACATAGACATAGTATCATAGTTGTTCCTCGCTCCTGTGTATTCTTTCTCTTGTGGATGGATCATAACCTTCATTTTTCCTTCCTCATTGACCGGCAACTAGCTGGTTTTGAACGTTGTTTTTAGGCGTCAGCATAGTATCATTACCTGGTTGAACCATGCTGGCTCAGTTTGAGTCAAACCAGTCTGCTTTGAATTGAACCGTTTGTCTCCTCCGTACTGATTCAATGCAAAAACGTGTTTGTTCGGCTCAAACCGAATTAGTTGAGGATTTCTGGTTGGGTGGGGGCCACTCGACTTGAACTGATTCACCAATCCGGAGCGGTTTTCCTGCCGGTTCGACCTAAACCAGTACTATTTTTGTTTGACGCTCTGGCCAGCTTGATCTGCTTCAAGTCTCACCAGATTTGGTTTCACTACTTGCTCATGTGTACAGATAGCGCTGTGGTGGTTTGTTTGCTCGGCTATACCTTAACAGTTACTGTTTCCTGCATCTGCTTGCATCTTCTCATTTGGGTTGGGTGTGCCCTTGCCTATACGCCCGTTTTTCCATACCCTGGGATGGCAGGGACGTTTCCGGTCTTGCAAGTGCACAGTTTCCCCGATGGGTCATGGACTTGACAGCACTGCGATACCTGTACGCCTCCTGTGCTGCCCTTGCTCTCTTGCTCTTTCCTTCCGTTGCCATGCCTGGGCCAATATCGCGCTCAGTCACGCAAGCTCATGAATGGTCGAACCACTTATCTCGTCGTCTCGCACTCTTCCCCCTCCCCTCCTCATCACCGTTTGCCAGCGATGTGTCTCATCTCATGACAGCAATCAATTTTCGCACAGGAGAGGTGCCGCAAGGCGACTTTTATGGCGTCTCAAATTTCTTCCCCCTTTCCCCCCTCACCCCTCTTTTGCCAGCGATGTGTCTCATGACAGCAATTATCGCACAGGAGTTGTGCCGCAGGACCTCTACCGCCTCAGCTTACTGGAGTACTTGTGAGTGAGTGAGTGAGTGAGTGAGTGAGTGAATGAGTGAGAGCCTCGGTGACTTTGAGTCGCCTCAGCCAACTGGAGCACTTGTGAGTGAGTGAGAGCCTCGGTGAGCTTGAGTCGACTCAAGAGTCACGGTGCTGCAAGACCGCCTCAGCCAACTGGAGTTCTTGTGGTGAGTGAGCCTCTTGGCTGTTCAGTTCAATATTGATGTGCGCACTTTTGATCGTAGCACAAGATGTAGGGGTCTTGCTGCAACTATGTCTTCACGAAACTAGTATGTGAGATCTGCAGTCTACTACGAGACGAGATGACAAAGCTGCTTGTTCTGGAGAAGCAGGGTCAAGTCAACCGTCCAATTCAGCAGTTGAAATGTTTTGAGTCGACTTGCAATTTGTTCTTGCTGTTCTCTCACTCACCCATGGACAGTGATGCATCAGGCAACGGATTGGTTGGTGCGCTTCCAGAGTACTGGACCGCTTTGAACCACCTCACCTACTTGTGAGACCACCTTTCACCCCTTCCATTGCCAAAGTTCAATCTATCTTCTTATCCATCTCCTTCACTTGCCATGCTTGTTGCTGGGCGAGTTTTGGTAAGACCATCATATCATCAACCCTTGAAATGCATACATGTTTAGTGCTTCTGTTAATGACTTGTTGTGCAATACACATTGAGCTAGTCTATTTTCGATGTAAGTAAAAATGAATAAATCGTTTATGAAACGCGCATTTTGCCCGACTCGACTCGACCGAGTTTCCATGGAAATATCGCCAACAGAAAGCGTCCTTAACGAGCCCAGAACAACAAGTCAAGTACAGCTCGTTAAAGGACGATTTCTCGACTCGAATGCTCATGTACAAGTCCTTCTCGACTCGAATGCTCATGTAGCAGTACATCTCTATCTACCTCTCCTAAACGGCAGTCTCTTGTTGGAACTGCTTGTGATATTTATTGACTCCTATACCAGACTGGCTGGACTGGATCCTTCTTTGTTATATTGGCTGCCCAGTCAAGTGTATCTCTCAATCGTATCTCGAAAGCCCCGATGATCATACAGCAAGTGTAAACGCTCTGCTGGCATATGTTCTCAATCGGATCTCAAGTGTCAATGGTCTCTCCTGGGAGTGCCACTCTCTCCTTCCTTCCGTTGTGGTCATGTCATTTGCCGATCTTTAGGATTCTTAAATTAAATGTGACCCTCAAGCGACCCTTTGTCATTTGGTGCTCCACAGGTCGTTTGACAATAACAAGATCGAGGGCTCCATTCCCTTCACGTTCTCTGCCCTCACCTCCTTGAGCACACTGTAAGCCGTGCCCTTTTCGCTTTTGACAGATGCTCCTTCCCTTTTGGGACGCTTCCTAGTCTGTAATTTCACGTTCTCCAGCCCTTATAACAAACATCTCAAATCAGAAACCTTTGATTGAGCATCATCCAAGCAAGCAAGCCTTCGGCTGTAATACATAAGTGGAGTTAGGCTCTCGTTTGTATCCACATGGCCAGGGTCATCCATGTCATGTCATGTGATGTGATGGGATGGGATGGGATGGGATGGGATGGGATGGGATGGGATGGGATGGGATGGGATGGGATGGGATGGGATGGGATGGGATGGGATGGGATGGGATGGGATGGGATGGGATGGGATGGGATGGGATGGGATGGGATGGGGTTTCTGGGCTGGGCTGGGATGGGATGGGATGGGATGGGATGGGATGGGATGGGATGGGATGGGATGGGATGGGATGGGATGGGATGGGATGGGATGGGATGGGATGGGATGGGATGGGATGGGATGGGATGGGATGGGATGGGATGGGATGGGATGGGATGGGATGCGATGTGACGCATGCAGAGCAAAGGAAACAATCATTAGGCTCACCTAACCTAGCTGCCTGATCAAATAGTATGTTGTGCCTATGTTGTGCCTGCTTGCACTTGCGCCGCCAATTGTATGTTCCTTTTGTTGTCCGCTCGTCGCAGAGAACGGCTGTTCTTGAGTGACTGCCTCCGAGCTAATCCATGCCACATGTTCCTCCCCTTTTTGTTGGTGCAGAAAACTGCGTATGAACAGCATGGACGGCAGCATTCCACACGTCTTCACTACTGCTCTTAGCAACCTGTGCTTTGCTGTCCCTTACTCATCATCCGTACATGATACTTTGATTTCCATAGTTATAAAATTGGCCTAGCCATGCGATCCCTATGGATGTACCCTTCCAATGCGCACAGGGCTCTACCGTTTCCTTTTTTTAGATTCTGTCAATTACTCGGGCATACTATTTTCCAGTCTAGGGTTCACTTCCAATTAAGAAAGAACTGGTTTGAACTGAACACACGCCTCGTTGGCCATGGGCCGTGCTGAGTTTCCATTCCAGGTTCTCAATTATTTGTTCTTGTAAAACCTAATATATGTATCCAATCTCGACTTCTTGCAGGAACCTCGACAATAATGACTTTTCTGGGCCCATTCCTCCCTTTCTTGGCTCCCTCACTGCCCTCTCAAACTTGTGAGAGTTAATTGGTTTTTTGCATCATAAGGAGGCATGGCCTCCTCTTCGTTTTGAGGCTTACACGCAGATTGCTTGCTGCTTGTATTGGTCCGGCCACCTAAAAGTACATGTGCATCATTACCTTGTGGTGTGTGGATGTGTTGACGCCGTAAGATAGGTTATGCTCTGAGAAAAATCACGAGTGTTGCTAAGAAGGCCACGCCTTTCGTCTTGAACTGCTGCCAGTGCTGGTTTATTCCTTTTCTCATAATTGCACCAAAAACAGCGGAGCTCTCATCTGTGTGCTTCTTATCCTACCAGGGTCCTGGCTTCAAACAACTTCACAGGGCCTATTCCAGCGACCTTTACAGGCCTCACCAACATGTTTGATCTGTATGAGTCTTGAGACGTCTCAAAATTTGTCTAATCCAGCGACCTTTACAGGCCTCACCAACATATTTGATCTGTATGAAATGACCACTCTACTACCACTCTAGTAGCATTCTTTATGTCAACGCAATTTGATTGTGATTGTCCATGTTAGGGGAAAGGCCTACATTGGTTAGCGAGGTGAAGTTTCTAATGAGACCGTCTGCCATTTATTGGAATGAGAGCATAAACGGTCGGGTTGATCAGCTGTGTACAAGCAACTCCTTACCCTCCTCAAACTAAATGCCATCTTTCAATGTGCCGTCTCTGCGGTTGTGCGTTCACATTCCAGGTACTTGCATGACAATCAACTGACGTCTGGGCTTGATGTGGTTGAGCGTATGACATGGCTTCAAACTGTGTAATTGCCTCATCTTCTGAATATGTCACATTGGTCTCTGTGGAATAGTAGTATCCAGTCCGCTCTTTGGAGTGGAGATATCCATTTCAGGTTAATTTTGATTAGTGAATCACCACCCTTTTCATGAATTTCCGTGTCTCTGCAACTTCAACACCTTGTTCCATACTGCATGAGGAGGATCCACGCCAGTAACTTCATAATCCATCATACCGGGTGTTTCAAAATCCAATATATTCGAATTATTGTGTCAATGTTCTGATAATCCCTGATTGTTTATGATCCCTGATTCCCTGATCAGTACACTCTTACACACACGCATGCAGTGTGTGTATGCTATGTCATGGCAATGGAGAATTGAGATTTCGTCTCCTCCATACACCACAGGGACATTTCTTACAACAAATTCTCGGGTAGCTTCCCCAGACTTTCGGCATTGCCATTCCTCATGTCTTTGTGAGTAGTTCTTCAACACCTTTACCTGTTGCTGACTAGCACCATTGCGTTGTGCCTGATCTAATGAAGCACCCTACTCTCTTCTGTTCACCCTCTTGGCTGATGCCTTTCCAGCTTGCTGTTCTCTGGTTCGCCAGCTTGTTTGACTTAGAGTTGAGCATTTGACCCGACCCGACCCGACCCGACCCGATTTGGCCGGGCCATACGGGCCCTCGGGTCGGGTCGGGTCGGGTCGACCTCGGGCCAGATTCCCGAAACATCTGGCCCGACCCGGGGGTACAGGGCCGGGCCGACCCTGGCCTGAGTTCGGCTCGGGCCGGGTCGGGTCGGGCCAGGAAACCCGATTTCACCCGCGCTCTGCGCAGATCAGCGATTTCGCCCGCCGATCTGCGCAGATCGGCGATTTCGCCCGCCGATCTGCGCAGATCGGCGATTTCTCCCGCCGATCTGCGCAGATCGGCGATTTCTCCCGCCGATCTGCGCAGATCGGCGATTTCGTCCGCCGATCTGCGCAGATCGGTGAGTTCGTTGGCGCAACTCTGCAAATCGTCAATTTCGCTGAAAATCTGGTGGAGATTGGGAGTTTCGCCGTGGCACTCGTTTTCTGACGAATGTGTTGGAACAAATAATTCCAACCAATTCGCCACTGCTCACCACTCCTTACCGCACTAAATCTACCATTCCCAACCCTCCCCCCCCCCCCCCCCCCCCCCCCCCCCCACTCTTTAGCAGCATCATTCTTTGGCTGCAAACTAAGTAGTTATGGTTCCTAGACGACGTTGGTCGCTTGAGAAAGGATATTAGGTGTGCGGTAATGAAATGATGTGTACGGGGAAAAAAATACCCTTGACATAAAATGGGTTAGGGTTTCGGGTCCCCCCTGTGTCGAGATCTGACCCGACCCGATTTCCCAAATTCTGACCCGAAATCGGGTCGGGTCAAAGCTGACCCGAGACCCGACCCGACTCGGCCCGAGTCCCATGCTCGGGTCGGGTTTTAGCCCGGGTCGGGTCGGGTCGGCCCGCACGGGGCAGGTTATTGAAACTACTGACCCGACCCGGGCTAAACCACGGGTCGGGTCGGGCCGGCCCGACCCGCGCGGGGCAAATGCTCATTTCTAGTTTGACTTTCCCGTTCACAGCGAACCTTGTTTGCCAATCGTTTGTTGGGCCTAGAGGTGTTTCAACTCAATCTCGGGGTCTAGTCAACTTAGCCGTGGGGTCTAGTCAACTTAGCCGTGGGGTCTAGCCAACTTAGCCGTGGAGGCTAGTCAACTTAGCCGTGGGGTCTAGTCAACTTAGCCGTGGGGTCTAGTCAACTTAGCCGTGGGGTCTAGTCAACTTAGCCGTGGGGTCTAGTCAACTTAGCCGTGGGGTCTAGTCAACTTAGCCGTGGGGTCTAGTCAACTTAGCCGTGGGGTCTAGTCAACTTAGCCGTGGGGTCTAGTCAACTTAGCCGTGGGGTCTAGTCAACTTAGCCGTGGGGTCTAGTCAACTTAGCCGTGGGGTCTAGTCAACTTAGCCGTGGGGTCTAGTCAACTTAGCCGTGGGGTCTAGTCAACTTAGCCGTGGGGTCTAGTCAACTTAGACCTCGGCCAGACATCACTGTGCCTTCGAGTGACGACTCGCGCCTAGCTTGAGTTGTTTGGCTTGCGGGTCGCAACGGTTTCGCATGCGAGTTACAGAGTTGTGATTATGAATGAGGAAAAGAGACAAGAGCTGGAGATAAGAGCTGGTGAGACGAGAGGAGAAGAGATGAGATGGGAGCAGATGGGATGAGGAAAGGAGGCACACTGGATTTGGTACATCTCGGACTAGTCATGGAACCCTGAACCTCCGCTGATGTTGCTAGCCAGCGCAGTCACCATCCAATTCAGGCTACTCCATCACTCAAAGCAATTCGATGGGGAAGAACTAACTGCAAAAGTTGAGGTGAGTCGAGCTGCTTAAAAAGAATACGGACAAAACAATACTCGACCCTAGGCCATGTCGAGTTGGCCAAGTAAAGTATCCCTCTGCAGAAGAATATCGCATTGTAACTGTTTTAAGTGTGTGTGCGCGCGTGCGTGTGTGTGTGTGTGTGCGCGCACGCGCGCGCGTGCGTGCGTGTGTGTGTGTGCGCGCGCGCGCGCGGTGTGAAAGTTCTTTCTTTCTTTCTTTCTTTCTCTGTTTTCTTCAATCACATCCATTTTGTTCATTCCTTTCTGTGAATGCTCAGGAGTCTTCGAGGCAACCGGATTCAAAGGCTGTTTCCTACTGATCTGCTGAAGCTCACCAATCTTATGACTCTGTGTGTCTCGGCTACCGGAGCCAATATCCTTGGCTCCACAAAACATGATGCGAGCGTAAAACAAAGAGTTATTAGTGTCCATTCCAGTTCTACTGTTTGGCCTAGTGCCACCAACCCACTGACCTACTGTGTGGGAGGGTCCCCAACCACATATCGGCTGAAGTCCAATGTGATAACTGTATGCGCTCATCAACCTATCCTTCAGGATGACCTTGTAAAAAAAAAACACTGCATTTTCTTTCCCTTCTTGCACAGAGATATTGGAATGGGCGATTTCTACGGGCCCATACCTGACGGCATATCAGAACTACAGAGTCTGCTATACCTGTACGTATTTCCTGGAATCTGTTGCACTCTCGTGAACTCTGCTGCTCTTTGAATGAGGGATCTCCTTTTCTCATCTGATCTTCCCGGCGATTATCGCTTTCTTGGCTTCCCACGTGTTGAATGGCCATGGTCACGACAGTTCTGTGGAGGGTTTTGGTCTGCTTATGAATTGATGACGCACACGAAGCCCTGTAAAGCGCTAGCAAGCAAGGGCATGAACGGTTATGGCCTTGTGTGAGTTGTCATGGGAGGGAGGGAGGGAGGACATGCCAGTGTTTGAGTCGCTTTGATGCCGCCCCTCCCTTCTCCCTGCGCCCCTTTCCCTGACATTCTTGGCTGACGTCATCGTATTTAAAGAAACCTCCACTTCTCTTCTTCACCAGAAACCTTGATGGGAACAACTTTCATGGGGAGATCCCTCTTGGCCTCTTTGCGCTCACAAGCATTGATCAGTTGTGAGTGGGGAGACACATGCAACAACACTTTCTCATTCTGCTTGCTCCGTGAGTGCTGCTCACTCACCCTCTTCCGTTCCGTGCTTCCTCCTTGCCTCCTGCTAACCTCCTGTTGGTTAACATGCATCTTGAATCTTCTGTCTGGCCTCAACTTAACTCCATGCATACCTGTGCAAAGGGGCGAGCCGAGTAATGCTCGACTCGTCCCTAGCCTTGCTCTGCCGAGTACGAGCCCGAGTCGAGTAATACTCGGCCGAGCATTTTTCCCCCAAATGGAAACTCGGTACTCGGCCTATAAAAGGGAACTCGGGCGAGCATTTAAAAAAGCTCATCCGAGTACGAGTAATGCTCGGCCATGTGCCCTTCTCCTGCCTAGAACGACGCTGTACATAACATCTAGTGAAGGCCATTGGTATCATGGAAGTACTGGGTGTCCCAGGGCCGCCCAGGTAAACGCAAGGTGGTCCCAGGAAGCCTAGGGAAGCCCATGAAAGCCCTGGGTTGCCCTGGGTTAAAAAACTCGGCGAGTTCCCAAAATGCTCGCCTAAAAGCATGCGAGTACTCGTCGAGCAAAAAAAACTCGGCGAGTAAAACTCGGCTCGACTTGGCCGAGTAAATTTTACAAAAAAACGAAACTCGTTACTCGCACCCTAACGAGTAACTCGTCCGAGTCCGAGCGAGTAACCCGTCTCGTTGCACCTCCATGCATGCTGCCCTTTCTGACTCCGTGTATGTCCGGCCGTTTCCTTGTATCACCATAGCCCTCTAATGCTTCCGTCCATTTGTTCAAGGGGAGTTTGGCGTTTAACACCCCCTCATGCCACATGCCACATGCCGCATACGACACACACATTCCACATGCTGAGGCACATTGAGTCAAATCGACTTGCCAAGCCGAGGTTTGTCAAGCAAGCAATTACTGGCTCTCAGACCGAACCACATGTTTGCGTTGCAATATGCATGCAAGCACGGGCATGCATGTGCTGCACTACCCCCGTGCACACTGCTCTCTCTAATGGTCCGTGTATTGATATAGCGGAAAGTACAAACATGCATAGTATGGAAAACATGTCTCTCTCTCTCTCTAATGGCCCTTTCATTGATAATCGTGGAGTACACACATGCAAGGTATTGGTATGGCACTCAACAGTCGTCACAAATCAAAGCCTCCTGCTCATCTTGCAACGCAGCCACCCCCCCTCCCCCCCCCCCCGTGTCTCCCTCTAGGGGAGATCCAGGGTGGGGTCCAGGACCGTGAGGCAATCCCCAAGTGACGGGGCCTCTCCTACCGCCTCAAGCAGCGGGTTTTCTACCGCTGCTGCGATGTTGCATTTCTCTTGGTACCCGACTGACTGCCCCCTTTGAAGAGCCACCGACCACCGCTGCCGATATTGGTGTAAGAGCTTGGCAGCTTGGTAGGAGGTAGGCTCGGCGTTGAAAAACCGCCGTGCAGCCGATTCTGCAAGTAACTTCAGAAAGTCCACTGCCTCGGGGCAAGGGCACCCGTACGTTTCGACCGCGAGGGGGAAGAACTTGACCCCCTCCGGTCGGTCCTTGTAAAGGCCGTGTTTTTTATCCGCAGCTTCCCGTGCTGCCCATCCCCGCCCTCTGGTTGCATTCTCGTCCCGGGTGCTAATCGGATCCGTTACAGTCACGTCGCAGATGTAGACAGCGCTAGTAGTGCGGTCGCGGAGGGCTAGGTCGGCCTTCTTCCCTTCCACGGGGCTGAAGGCGGCCGATTCCATGTGCACCATGAAGCCGGCATCCCTCGCCATTCGCGCGCACTCGTCTCTGAGTTCATTGTGCGTGTTGATACGTCCCCCCCCTGTACCGCACCGCAACAGGTGATTGGGCAGCCGTTTATCCAAGATTTCGACCTTCTTCGTGCAGTTGCACACTCCCGGAGCAGCAAAGGGGAGCCCTAGCCGGAACCGGAGGGCGTTGGCATAATGGGGAGCGTCGAGCCGAAGCGAATGGTGAATTGGCACGGCATTTAACCAATCACCCGCCCCATAACCTGACAGGGACAGCATCCGTTGGGTGTGGCCGTTGTTGGGGTTCGGCCGCATCCCCCGCACCTCCTCCACTTGCACCACGTACCGCTGGCCTTGGATAGCGGTGGCCAATCCGTGCTGCAGCTTCCCTGTTGTTGGGGCTGCTCTTCATTCCGTCTGCAGGACCTCCATTGCCGGCAGAGGCAGCCCCTCTTCACATTCCGCCAGCCATTCGGTCAGGGGGGAGGCCTGGGTGTAGGGGCCCCGCATAAGCCCGCGGTTGCCCTCCAATGGGCCGATGCTTTCAGTGTCCAGGGAATCAAGCAGCAGCTGCGCCTGCGTGTAGCTGGCGAGGAAGCTGTAACGCCCTTCCACCGAGGGATCTGCTAGGCCAAGTCCCCCAAGCGACACGGGGAGAGATGCCTGTGCCCAAGCACGTGCCATCTCCTCATCACCCCGCGGATGGCTAATCCCGCACGCCGTGAGAAGAGTTTCCAGCAGCCGCCGCCCCCAGCTCGACCACTCCTCCTTGGGCAGGAACGGCAGAGGTGTCGTGCGGGCGAGGTAAGAGATCCGGCGAGAGATACACCGGGAGAGCAGCAGTCCCGCCAGCTGCGGGTCCATCCGCTCTATCAGGTCCAGCGGCGCGCTCATCCCCGCAAGACTGGTACGTACGAAATCTGAAGTTGCTGGTGCTGTGCCAATGTAACTGCCCAATACTTTCAGGCCGTCGCTGCTGGGAGGAACTCCTTCAGGTAAGCGGCAGTCCGGGGACGTCGTGCTGGACCAAGCCCCGCACTTCTCTGGGTTGTGGCGGAGCCCGATTTCCGCCAAGTGGCCCGTGAAGTGTTCAAAGGCAGCCACGCACGCCGATGGCTCCCCGAGGAAGGTGACGTCGTCCGCGTAGGCTAGGCAGACGACGGATGGATGAGCCTCCGCTGCGGCTTTAAGAGCTGGGTGCATGGCAGTGGCGAAGAGAAGGGGACCGAGGGGATCCCCCTGGCGGACCCCGGTTTCACTGTGCAGGGGCGGGTGAGCAAAGGCTGCATCCAAGTGAAGGAGGGACGGCTGGCCGTATGAGAAGCGAACCAGTGGCAGCAGCGGCTCCAGTCGTGAGCCCTTCAGGGCTTTTGCTATTGCAAGGCGGTCAACGCTGTTGAAGGCATTAGCCAGGTCCGCCTGCAGGACTAAAGCGTCCGAATTAGCCGCCACATAGGTCCTAACTATGTGGATGACCGCCTCAGCTCCACCTGGCACGGCCACGCCAAACTGCAGAGGTAAGAAAAATTCCCTTGCTGCGTCTGCCAGCTGCGTAAGCGCTGCCTTGGCTGCCAGGCGGAGGATGCATTCGCCTATAGCGATCGGCCTGGTCCCTCCGTCAGGTTTGTCTAGTGCTATCAACCGTGATGCTGTAAGAAGCTTCACTACCTCCTGGTGCAGTTTCCCGCTCAGGATTGTGTTAACTAATGCGTGCAAGTGAGAACCAACTGTGCTGTGCAGCAGGGCAGCTTCGCGGAGGTGCTCGAATGTTGTGCCGGAGGGACCCGCGCCCACCCCGTTCTCACATCTCGAGAGGAGCTTCAGAAAAGCCTCTCGCGTTACGGACAGGTGAGAGTCCTGCGCGGGCTGAGGCCACGGAGAGTCAGGGCGGGAGGCACTGGGATGCTTGGCGCGGAGGGCGTCCAGCACAGCTGGCGAGGGTTTGCTGACAGGGGTGGCTTCCAGCGCCATGACTGCCCTCCTCAAGCTGCCACGGCGTGCCAGTCCCTCAGCTCTGGAGATGACGCCCAGCTCATCTGGCACGTGTCGAGGAGGTGGTGGTTGTTCCAGTGAATCTATCGTTTCCAGGTACAGTGCCTCCCATTCACCCCGCAGGAAATTCCGCAAGCGTTTTTCGGTCGCCTTCCAATCCGGATGTCTTGGCGAATGCTGACGCAGAGTCAACGGGGCGGCAAACAGTAAAACCGTCCAGGCAGAGATGGAGTCAGGGTCGCGTGCGAGTCGTAGGAGTGGTGTCAGCACCACCATGGCGAAAAGGAGGCGCAATTTTTCCGGCAGGCGACGTGCCAGAGGTGAGTTGCGACTGTCGCGCAGCTTATCCACATCCCAGGTGCTGACATTCGCGAAAAGTGCGTCATCCCTAGCGAGAGCCTCGGGCGACTTTTGGGGAGGGGGCTGTGGTTGCTGCTGGTTACCCCTCGCTGCTGTTCGCGGTACATTTGGAGGTGGCGATGTCAGATTCGGATGGGCGGGATGGTTGACAGTGGTGGCAGGGAGGCAGGAAGCGGTACGAATCTGTGGTGAGAGTCGCGGCTGGGTGGGGGTGGTTCTGAAATTTGTTGACGCGCTTCGGGCTTGGGTTGAGCTGATTCTCCCCCGTGCTGGTGTTTGTGACTGGGCCTCCTCTGAGGCATTCGAACTTGACGGTGAATCTCCTTCTTCCTCCCCCGCCTCATAAATACTGCCCGATAGTTCGCCTTCTTCATTGGTTCTGACTAACTCCGTTAAAGCCCTCCTCGCCGCTACATGGAACGCATTCTCCGGGCCTCCTTCCCGAGTGCCTCTGCCACGTCCGCGACCTCCGCCTCTGCCCCCTCGAGTCCGCGCGCTGGCCGCGGCCAGTTGTGGAATTCCGCTACTGCATATTCCCACGTCTCGTCGCGTCCGTGCATCCTCGATCGCCTGCTGCCGGCGCGTTCGCCGCGGTGGCGACTGAATTGGAGAAGTCAGCGGTGGACCAAGGTCACACCGCTGAGAGCGCGATTGCCCCGTCTCCAGCCCCTGTTGCTGCTCAAGCTGCTGCTGCTGCTCCCTTGGCCCCCCCGGCACCTCCTGTCGCTGTTGCGACGATCCGGGCTCTAATCCCGCCGGTGCCGGCTCCCCCGCCAAGCCTTCCCCACGTTGTTCCCGCGGTCGGCGCGCCGGTTCCCGTTGCGCAGCCGTCGCTTGTGGCGCCGCCGACTGGCCAAGCTGGCGCCGGGGACCCTGCGCTGGGGACAGCGGCGGGCGCCGGCCCCGACCCTGCCCTCCAGGTGGCCCCTGCAGCTGCGCCGGTACATCCCGTCGCGCAGCGTCTTGCGGAATCTCAGATACGCGGTGCCACGGTGGGCAATGCGGCTGCGCATCGGGGGCGCGGTTCTCCTCGCTGTCGCCCCTCGTCGTCGTATCGATCAGCGCACCGCGGGGGCCGCGGTGGGTGGTGGGGAGGTCACGGTCGCGGCAGCGGTGGGCCGAGCGAGATGCAGCAGTTTCGCGAGGATTTCCCGGGGATGCTAGCTGCGGCGATGCGCAATGCCCTGAATAGCGCACAGAATCTTGGAAGCTCCCAGGCTCCCGCCGCTCCAGCACCCACGCCAGCACAAGTGATTGCGCAGGCTCCGGCCGCGCCCCTTGCTGCTCCTGCTCCGCTCGCCTCGGCGCCACCGCAGGTTCAGACTCCTGGTGATCATCGTGCCCCCCCTGTCCCCGTGCGTCCTGTTTCTGCCGCGCCCTATCCCCCTCTGCCCTGGATTCCCCCACTCCCGGACACGGGATTTGTGGGGCCGGGAGGCAGAGTGGCGAGAGGGGCGTTCGTCCCACCGCAACGCGTTGCTGATGCTCCGTCCGTGCAGCCTCCGCCCACGCTTCCGGTTCCACCTGCGGCACTGGCGACCGGCATGGCGGAAGTTCCCACGGCGACCCTTGCTCAGCTGTGGCGCCTGACGGAGTGTCAGCGGGCCCTGTCACTGATTCTGGTGAATGCGCATTTCGCCATTCTCCAGAGCCCAGGGAGCACTCTCGGTCGTGGGGCGCGAGCTGATTGTCAGGCTGCAGCTGCGCAGCTTGCCTTCCTCCTCCTACCCGTGCTGGCAGCGCCCGCGATGGGAGGCGTTGCGGTTTCTGAACTGGACGTAACGGTCCAGGGTCTGACCGCACACCTCCAGGCTGGTGGCGGGATTGAAGCCTTAGGCGCGACCGCGTTAGTGGTCCAGCAACTGTGGAGGACCATGCGTGGTATCCTCGCGGCGCTGGATGCCCATCAGATGTAGTTTCTGGCACCCGCCGCACGTAGACCCTTTGCATTTCTGGATCTAGTCGCTGGTAGCGTAGCCCATGGCTGTTTTGTTGTGTCTGCTTATTGTTTGTGCTGCTGTTAATCCTTGCCACCCCTAGGCACGCGGCCGCCGAAGAAAACTGGCACCAAACGAACTAATGGCAGAGAAATGACCCCAAGGGCCCTATATATAGCTAGAGGGCAGAGGCAGAGGCTAGAGGCAGAGGCTAAGTCCTCTCTCTCTCTCTCTCTCGCTCTCTCCACACCGAAGAAAACTGGCACCAAACGAACTAATGGCAGAGAAATGACCCCAAGGGCCCTATATATAGCTAGAGGGCAGAGGCAGAGGCTAGAGGCAGAGGCTAAGTCCTCTCTCTCTCTCTCTCTCGCTCTCTCCACACCGAAGAAAATTGGCACCAAACTGGCACTGCTCTCTCCCTCTCTTTCTCACTCTGTTTTTGTTGTTCCCTCTCTTTCCCACGGCTGTCTATCCACATGGAACACTTTCAGGAGTTTGAATGACAATCGCCTCAGTGGGAGCCTGCCCAGCTCATTAAAATCAGAATCCCTCAGCATGTTGTACGTCTTCCCCATGAGTTGCTGTGGGATTGGTACTGTCGGGTGGCCTGGTGAAACACATGCTACTATCCATGTTGAGGCTTCGGGTCTTTCGGGTGGACCCACACATCAGTGCCATGTCATTCCCAGCTTGTCTCTGATAGACGTATTTGCCGACTTGTGCTGACAGGAGGCTTGATGGGAATGGATTGTCGGGCTCTCTTCCTGATTTCGCGCATTGGAACACGTCTATTCTCGGATACTTGTAAGTCACGCACACAGGCAGCAGACAGACTGTTGCCATATGTTGGAGTAATGTGGAGTAAGGTGGAGCGCACTTGGATTGTTTTTGTATGGCCTGACCTTGCTCTAATTTATGGCCATCCTTGAGCCAGTTTCATTTCAGGTTCAACTTAGGTTCATTTTCTTATTATTGTCCTAGGCTGAACACAACCTATGTTCAGTCAAGGTCTCACCTCAATCTGCCCTATACCACCAATCTGCTGTGTTATTGCACCTTTACAACTATCATTGTACAATCCAATGACACATGGGAATCTTGTAACCGTTGTCCTTCGGTTCTTCTCTGCTAAGCATGTTAGCCCTAATTCTATCACCTTACAGATGCTCCCTGCATGCATACGCCGCCATGTTACTGCCCCATCACCCTGATAGCTTCTTATTTGCGTATCCTTTGTCCTGTTGCCCAGCCCATGCAAGTCACATAGGTTACGAGTAAAGAGAGGTAAAGGCCTACGCGTGAGTTTATGTCTACATGACCAAAAACCGTGAAGCGCCAACTACGATTCTGGTTGTTCGCTCTTTTCCCATCCCTCTCCAGTCATCTAGGGGGCAACAACTTCACAGGTTCCATACCGCAATCAATCAGCATGCTGACTTCACTGGACACCATGTGAGCCATCTATCTACCACCGTCTGTCTGTCCCTATCATGCACATCGCTAATACCATCTCTATCATCTCTTGCTCGAGTTTCAAGTTCTAGTTCTGTGCAACACCAGGCCTCGCCGCCACGATGCAGTAGAGTTCTGTCCTGTCCCTTGTGAATGGGGCCACTCTCCCCCTTGTCTTCTACATGACCCTTTCTGTCTTTTGTGTTACCTCTGCAGTTCCTTGGCCAACAACCAGCTAACAGGGACGTTGCCTACATCTCTTACGACCCTCACCAATCTAGCGGCCATGTAATCCACTTTCTTACCTGTTTTCTCCCATGTGTACTGACACAAACAAGCATATTCAACCATCAATCGTTGATCTGTAGTTCCCTGTCCCACATAGGACATGCTTGTCCCACTTGTCATTTCTTGCTGATCATCTCATCTCAATCAGTTAGCGTGGTTCTTCTTTGTCTTGTCCATGCTCAAAAGGTTGTGTGTCATGCATATCATATCATGGATATGTCACTCGCGCACCCTAACCAGAGACCTGGCAAATAATGTTGGAGGCATCTCAAGAGTTGTTTCCAAGAGCCAATGGTTTTGTGCCACGTATCCATCACTCTACACCCCCATCAGAGACCTGCCAGGCAACAGCTTCTCAGGACCCTTACCCGCTGGTCTGGGGGCCCTCTCCAACCTTCGTACCTTGTATTTAAACGCATTCATGCATGCTTGCCTAACCACGGTCATGCCATGCCATGTCATGTCATGCTTCATCATTTCATGTGCTTTATCTAGGCAGGTGCATGGGTCAATCCCAAACCGAAAGTGGTTCATATCCAACCAAACTACCTTGAAGTGGCCAGGTGGTTTAATGAAACCCGAACCGGCTCGGTTCGAACCAGGTGAAGACTCAGTTTGAAATTCAATCAAAAGGTCGAGCCGACCGCTACTGGTTTGATCTGAACTGCTCACGCTTCAAGCTGAACTTTCTCAGTTGCTTGAAATGTGTAATTAACTGTGGAAACCTGATTTATGTTAACTCTGACACCCCAAAAGGTGTAGGAGAAAAATCATGGCTACAGCAGCGAACTCGGGATCGAGCAGCTTGTCAAATGGTTATAGCTGATGGAGCTGGGAGAAAGAGGCAAGGTTAAACGGTCCAAGTCACGTGGCTGACTTCATTGTATTGTATCCTCGAACCTGTTCAACTCTAACTGGATTCCCCTGCTCGGAAGTATGCTCGTCATGCCTAGCTTCGACTATTGTTGGGCTCTCAAACTGAATTGAATGCTCCCCTTCATAGTTCGTGCCAGCAATTCGTCGCATGAATATTGACTCGTGCCACAATGCTGCTGCTTGATTGAATCAAGGAGCCGAAAGGCAAATGAGAAGGCCCACGTCAAGGAAATTCAAAGATGCCAAACTTTTTTCCAACACAGATGGATGGTGCACTACTAGCAGTGTTTTTCGACAAATCCAACATCGAAGATTTTGCGTACACTGTGTAATTTATTGCAGCGTGTGCTTTCAACAATTTGGTTGCAACCAGAGCAACATTGGACTCCATTGGTGACTCTTCCGAAAAACTCTTTACGTGATTCTGATCACTTTGAATGCTGGCAGGTCCGTATCTGACAACCAGCTTACGGGGAGGCTCCCTCCATCCATATGCAACCTCACCAAGCTAGAACAAATGTACCCCCCATTCCTTACTATGCAAATCCTTACCATGTGCAAGGATTAGCGACCACGATGTTAAGCCGGTTGCTGTTGTTCTCTAAATTGCCTGTTCTCTCTATTGTTCCAACACGGCTGCAGTTGTGTTGTTGAGGTAAAAGCATCAGGACGTGGTTGGTTGTGTTGTTGATATTGCTTGCGTTTTTGGACTGTCCTTCCATGTGCTTAGATGCTTGCAACACCCCACTCAGTAAGCCCGGTGGCATGGAAAATTATTGCGCTATATGCCCTTATCCTCATTCCTTTTCAGGTCTATCCAGAACAACTACTTCTATGGGATCTTTCCTTCGTGCCTCTTTGAATACTGCTTGCACAAGATGTGAGACATGTTGATTTGGAGTGTACCTTAGTGAGGTGAGAAAGAGCACTGTTCTTCCGTGGTTGCGATGCGAAGAATTCAGACTGCACGATGGGCATGAGGAGAAGTTGAACCTATTGACCAGTTTGTGTTGAGCCCGAACTGGTGACTTTATCGAACCGAACCGAACCAAACCTAACCCATTCATCTCTAGTGCAAAAGCAGGCGCTTATTGGGATTTAATCCACGTGCAATGGTGCGAAAGCACGCAGTTTCTCTCTGCCATCCCTCTTTGCACTTTCCAAAAATTTGACAGTGACATCAGCAACAACAGCTTCTATGGAGAGATAAACAGCAACTTCCGCAGCATGATTCCAGACAACGGCGCTCTGCTCAACATCGCAGGCAACTTCTTCTACGGCGACCCCATGCTCTACGCTGATGGCTGCCAGTTCTGCCCCTCGGGGGGGATTCAGCCCCTTGTCTTGACACCAAGCGACTTCGTCAACCCCTCTGGCGGCCGGTGTGCACCCCAGGGGATGGGAGGATTTGTTCAGACAACACGTGCAGGGGCCAACAAGCAGGGCAAGGCGAGTCTGAAGAGGAACTGTTTCATGCTGAACAAGCAGATGGAGTGCACGGCGAACGAGACGCAGCGCAGCAGCGAGGAGTGCCTGGCATTCTGCAGCATGTCGCGGGAGCTGGGGCCGTGCGATGGGCACGGAGCGTGTGTGCCGCCGCAGGCGGGGGCAGCAGAGGCGCGCTTCACGTGTGAGTGCGACGACGGCTTCGTCCCCACCAACGGCACCCTCGGCTCCACCTGCGCCCGCCCTGCTCCGCCCCCCACTGCAGGTATGCTCCACCGCCTCCACCATGTATGTGCTGTCATGACATGAGCCAAATATTAAAACATTGAGTGTGTGTGTTTGTGCGTTCGTGCACGTGTGCATGCGGCATGTGTGTGCGGGTCTGTGCGAACGCGCGCGCATGTGTGTGTGTGTGTGCGTGCGTGCGTGCGTGCGTGCATGCGTGCGTGCGTGCGTGCGTGTGTGTGTGTGTGTGTGTGTGTGTGTGTGTGTGTGTTTGTGTGTGTGTGTGTGTGTGTGTGTACCTTTGTTTCTGTGTGCCTGTGTGTGTTTGTGGTGGGGGTTGGGTGGGTACGTGCGTGCGTGCAAGCGTGAATGCGTGCGTGCGTGCGTGTATGCGCGTGCGTATGTGCGTGTGCATGCGTGCGTGCATGTGTGTGTGTGCGTGTGTGTGCGTGTGTGTGTGTGTGTGCGTGCTGGCTTGGAAGGTTACGTATCTTGCATGTATCCCGCATTGCTTTCACACCTAAGTGTTGGGTGCAAATATTTATTCTGTGCACGTCAACCAGCCGTCTGCGTCGCATTTTGCATTTTGTGTGTGTGCGCATTTTCTATTTTCATTTTGTGTGTGTTCAGTGCGCATTTGTCCTCGCATATTTTGTGTCTTGTTTTCATTCGTAATTACATTTTGTGTTACTGCATTTCCTGTTGCGTGTTACTGTACTCATGAAGCGCTCAAATGAGGCTCGCTCAAATGAAAGCCTCATGGCGCTCAATTTGAAGCCCTCAAGGGACTCACATGGGACTCCCATGAAAGTCCCATGAACCTCGAATGTTTCATGCGAGGCTCATTGGGGCCCCATGCGAGCAAGTGGTGTACCTTGGGGCTCGAGTGTTTGACTGGCGAGGGGGTGCCAGTTGAATTTTTTCGCGTGGGCCAAAGGCGCGAAAGTCAGACCCACGCGTGGGGACCTGGCACGCACGTGTGTCGCGCACTGTTGCGAACGTGCACATGTGCACGATCGCAACAGGACAGGGCCCATTTTGGCCATGTTTCGCGCTGTACAGTGCACGATCGAGAAAAAATCTCGGTCGTGCGTGTGGCACGGGGGTGTGCTCGGGATTACGGTTGAAAATTTGTATCCCGCGCTGGCTCACGGGAATGACAATTTCTCGCCAAAGTCACGCAGCTTTGCGGAATCATTTCGGCAAAGGTACAAATCGGTTACTCCCACCATTCAGCGGTTAAAACCGTATTATAACTGTAAGCTCGCATGAATGTCATGAGAGCTACATTGGAGTAACATGGGAGTCCATAAGTGCATACATTTGAGTTAGCGGAGGCAATTGTTTCAGTGCAATTTGAAGACAGATTTTAACAAGAAGAAGATGAATTTGATCCAATACTTTTTCGCTTTCACGCTGGAGTTCTACTACTCCGTATTGACGAGAGTAGAAATGTTAACATGATACTTCCTGTAGAATGAGGATCGGTGAACTTAAGGCACAATGAGAGAAGAACAATATATCCTTAGTAGGAAGATGGTACAAGCCTGAGAGGCTAGAGCAATGTCCTTTGCCAAGAATGAGTTCTAGAGAAGTGGGAAGCCACATATATGTGGCTGAACTCTTGAGGCTAGCTGCAGCACCTCAAAGCTGAGGGCAAGGCTACCAAACCAACCTTGCTAAGCTAGCAATTGAGGCCACATGTTGCACATGTGGGCCAGGCTGGAACAACAGCCTACATGGCAGCATGTGGCACACCATAGGGGCCAGCAAGGTGAGTATGGGATGGGTGGACAGATGGCAATGCCAACTGTGACCACACTTCACTGTGGGTGAGTGTGGTGGAGTGTGGGAATGTCATGTTGGGCATAATGTTAAGGGAAAGTGCAGCTGCTGATATTTGAACCCGCGACCACTGAGACCAAAGGTGAGAATCTACCCACTGGGACAGTCTTGCTTGCACAACCCTTTCGAAACTCTGTTCGAACAGATTACTCGTCATATGAGCTGAGCAATGCATAACTACTCACTTGAAATTTTTTCTACACTCTTGGCTAGGAGGTGACAAGCTATCACACTCGAACGGCCGCAAGTGAAACTAAGTGTTGCTAGTTTGTAGTACTAGTTTAAACGCTTCCGCGTAACATTATGGTACTCGACACTAAGTTTAGGGATGTATGGTTGTAAAATAGGTCAAGGTTACGGCATACATCTATAATTGCAATTGAAGGGTTGCGTGCCTGTAGTCCAATTATATGTTCTCCTATTTTCTGCCCTCCCTCCCCATCCCTTCCCTTCTCCACCTCGCCAGCACTCTCCACGGGTGCAGTGGTGGGCATCGCTGTGGGCTCTGCTGCAGCCTTTGCTCTCCTTCTCGCTCTCGTTGTCGCTCTTCTCTGGCCCCGCCAACGCCGTGAGTCTCTTCCCCTTTTCCCCTCTTTCCAAAATCCAGACTCTACTGCAGTTGTAGCAATCTGTGCACTGGTTTGTTTGCAGCACTCTTGCTTGTGTGCAACGCGCTTTATATTGTGCCGCGTTGGGTCTTTCGTGTTGATGAGTGAACTTGCATGTGGTGTGGCATGGCAGGGCGGTGGAGCGACCTGGACGTGTGTCAGGAGTTCAGCATGGGGGAGATTCTGCGGGCGACAGACAACTGGGCGAGCAGCAATGTGTTGGGGAAGGGCGGCTTTGCCACCGTCTACAAGGGCGTCTCCAGCAAGGGAGAGCTTTGGGCTGTCAAGCGCATCGCACTCATGTCCAACGACTTTGAAACCGAGGTGAGGGAAGGGAACTCCTGCTCCCCGACTGGCTGGTTGTGCCCCTTCATGTGTCCATCAGCCAGCTTGCTTCTCCCCGTGCTTGCTCGGTACCCTTTCACTGCATGAGCATTCTGCGCCACCCACCAATTTTTTCCACCTGCAGGTGTGGTATGGCGTTGCTGCTGCATGAGACATACCTCTAACCTCCTTTTTTCTTCAGCATTAATTTCCCTTGAATTCTCCTCAGGTGCTGGCGATGGCTTCACTGCAGCATGAGAACATTCTTTAAATCCCCTTCTTGTGCAATCACCCTCCTCCTCTGGCAGGTGCGGGCGATGGCGTTGCTACGGCATTAAGACGTCCCTGAAACCTCCTCTTTTCTTCTCCTTTATTCCCCCAACCCTCCTTGCCACCGCTAGGTGCGGGCGATGGCGTCGCTGCGGCATGAGAACGTGGTGCGCCTGTTGGGCTTCTGCCTGCATCAGAACGTGGAGAGCGGCCAGCAGGAGCAGATCCTCGTCTACGAGTTTGTGCCCAACGGGGACCTCAAGTACCACATCCACGACTCAAAGAGTGCGCTCCCTCTCTACATTCTAAGAAATTTGAGAATTATTTTGTCCTAGAAATGTTGCCCAAGGTCATACAGAAGTCATGACTTTACGTCGCAGCATCTTTTAGCAAACATATTTGTTTGTTTAGACTGTGTAGGCTTGCTTGAAAAAACTCTTGTGTAAGGAAAAATCTGGCGGTAACTTGTTTCGGCTCTTCGAACTGTTGGTTTGAAGAAGGCTCGAAGAGCCGAAACTAGTTACCACCAGATTTTTCTTATACTAGGTTTTTGTTTTTAGCAAGCCTACACACACTAAACAAACTAATATGTTCGCTAAAAACTGCTGCCATGTAAAGTCATGGCTCCTGTATGGGGTTCCCTGAAACATTTTGTCCTAGAAATGTTGCTCAAATATCACATCCATGACTCCAACTGTATGCTCCCCTTGCTTGCCATGTTATCTTTGCTGGAATTGCTGCTTTGCCAATGTTTCTCTTACTGGCTTTGTTCCTTGCTTCAGCTTCTCTTTTTGGTTTCCCCTCTCTCCTTCCCCCTCTTCCACCTCTCAGAGCCATTAACTTTGAAGCAGCGGCTGCAGCTGGCGGTGGGGGCAGCGGAGGGAGTGGCATATCTGCACAGCTTCGCGACGCCCATCGTGCACCGCGACCTCAAGCCCGGCAACATCCTGGTGGGCGAGCACAACCAGGCCAAGATCGCCGACTTTGGGCTGCTCAAGATGCTCAGCCACGTCGACGGCGGTGACGACCGCACTCGAGTGGCCGGCACCCCGGGCTACCTCGACCCCGACTACAACCGCACGCAAGTCGTCTCCGAGAAGAGTGACGTCTACAGGTGCGGCGTCTACAAGTGCCCGTGCTCTTGCTATGCTCTTGCGGTGCGATATGCGAATACCAAGTAAGGTCTGACTCGTAATCACGCCTGTCGGCATGCTGTTTGCATCTCCTTGTTTGAGAATCTTCATCCCATCTCCGTGGGGACGTTCTCCTCCACAGCATCGAGCACGTAATAGCTTCTGTTCGCCTTAACTTTTCTTCTCTCCCCACCACCCGTCCAACCTTTATCGTTGGAGCAGCTTTGGCGTGGTGCTGCTGGAGCTGCTGACAAGGCAGAAGGCAGCTGTGGAGGGCACTGATAGCCACATCAGTGACTGGGTGAGTGCATGCAAGCATGCATAGTAGGGTTGAGTAGGGGCCGAACCAGGTCGGGTCGCCAAGTAATACGGGTCGAACCCGGTTAAGTCTTGGGGTCGGCCGAGGTACTCCTTGTCATAAGACTAGTATTGGAGATGCTCGACTAATTCTACTAAAAAAATACAGGTTCGCACTGATCCGGTAGTTAACAAGCCCTTTTATCTTAGTGGTTTGGTGGCTGGGATTTTGACATAAAGGCGAAGGTCTTGGGTTCGAATCCTCATGTGTGTACACTTTGGCACTGCTGCTGTGCCGTGTTCTGGGACATCTCTATGAGGGAGGTGGGTGTCAAAAATCAAGCGCTGGGGTTGTTCGATCTTAAGGAAGGGTTACGGGCTCACTAACCTGGGGGTTATGGCGCACTGACCCACTACTTAACAAGTCATTTTATCCCAGTGGTCTAGTTGCTGGAATTATAACATTCATCTTAACCGAGTTCAGACATATTGGAACCGGGCCAAAAAATGTTTGGCTAAACCGTTTACAACCAAATCCAAGCCGGTTCGAGTTCGACTGATTGCCTGCGTTTATAAACACCAGGGTTGCACATGGTGCAAGGGCACCCACTGGGCATTTCACAATCCCCCTTTGTGCTCGTCGCCCTTCCCCCAATTCAGGCGGCGCGCAAGGTGCAGGTATACGAGCTGGGCGAGCTGAAGGACGCGGGGCTGGAGGCGCCGGACGAGGCGGTGGTGGAGCTGGCAGACATCGCACTGGACTGCCTCAAGATGCCCGCCTCGCGCCGCCCCCCCATGAAGGACGTCGCCCGCCGCCTGCAGAACCTCCTCTCGCTCTACTGCAGCGACGAGGACCTCTCCTCCCTCTCAGAACCCAGCCTTCGCATGGCGGGAACGCCACGTGGCGAGAGCATCAGTTGGGGCTCGTTCGGGAGGAGTGAGTGGTCGGAGGCGACGAGCGGTGCGTCTGCTTCCAGGCTCACCCATTCGCTGTCGGAAAAGTGGCGGATGATTGAGTAGGTTTTTTTAGCCCATGGTGTCACGAAATGAGTAACATGGTATCGGTCGACGAGCCTTTACCGTTAGGGTGCATTGCATGGCCCTTTTATCGCATTTTAGCGTTCATAACTTTGTGGTACCGTAACTAGCTACCTTTCGCGTTTTCTACTTCATTGAGACATTTTGTTTTCTTCTGAACATAATGAATGACATCATGCTTCATTATGGTCATCATGAGACATGTGCTTCGCTAATACTGTATGGTCCCAGATTTATCATAGGTGCGTTTTGAAAATGCGGTATCATCCAAAAATACGGTAACGGGTGCAGAGAAGATAGAGAGTTGCTTCTGTTGATCTTGTGCAGATTCTTGAGAAAAAAATTCATGCCAACAAAACACACAAAAATCATCCGAAAATATTTCATGAGAGTTTTGTTCAAATTTGAAGGCGTGAAACAAGGCTGTTATTCTTTAATCAACATTCAATAAAAGTTTTCTCGCAGAATTCGTCGAATCCAACAATGTGGTACATTGTGAAAGCTTGCTTTTTGCAACTTGTAAAGGCATCGTGCTTCATTTCATATGGGCATCGTGCTTCATTTCATATGGGCATGAGTACATCAATCTCGTCCAATGATAACAATAATGACAGCAAGAATCGTAGAGACAAGTACGACATGGGTGGGAGGGTGGGGAACTCAAACTTCGAAATTGAAAAGAAGAACGTGGGTGAGGCCAAATGGCCTCAACCCCCGCTTTTGTAGCCAAAAGAGGGCGAGTAGCGATGCGACGCTGCCTTTGCTGCGTTGGCAATCGCTACACTGTCACAATGCACAATTTTTGAAAAGTGTTACACACTTTTAAAAATTTACATACCGTATTACCCCGGATAGAAGCGCAGGTGCGCTTATAATAAAACGGTGTTTTTTGGGGGGGTGCGCTTCTAATTGAGGTGTCTGTATAAGCGCATGCGCGTATAATACGGAAAAAAAAATGAAATTCATTTTTAAACATACTAAACTGAAGCCCGCAATAAGGCGAATCCACCGGACCATGCAGCACGTGGGAACGTGCATGGTTTTCAGGCAAAAACAGCCGCGGTGCGGTTTCCCACCGCACAATGCTGTCTAGAAGCATCGAACGTGACAGCACTGACGGGGATGTTGCTGTGCGGCCCAATCACAGCCGCATGCGCTGCCACGCAAGTGCATTTCTTTCGAACCCTCTCGAAGGTTAAGGAAGTTTCCCTGCCAGCGCAGCGGATATGCTGCCACGCAGGTTCCTCTACGGGGGTAGACGGGGGAACCCTGCCTGTCATTAACGAGGACCCCGCGCCGCTAGGTTGCAGGGGTCCCCGTCGTTGCCCATTTGTGCACCCTCGTCTTCATTTTTTTCATTCAGTTTCTACTCTAGCCCGCCTGGCTGGCGAAGCCATGGCGGAATTCAGTGGGATGCACTTTCTTTACAAGAAGAAACCACCACGGTGGAATCGATCTTGAAGAGGGCGCCGAGGAGGACGTCTTCCCCGATCGTGAGGCCGCCGACGACGACGGCGTCGAATCTTGGTGGCGCGACGCACCACGCGCGAAGATGCCAATACCAACGTATCCGCCTGTTAACAAGAAACGACCCCACCCCTCCTCTGAGAACCGAGATGCCCGCCCCCCCTCTCCCAGGCACAAGATGACTCAACACAAACGGCAGCGCTACACCGCCCAGGAGAAACTGAAGTGGCTCGTACGGCTGGAGCTTGCGGCATCGATAAGCGAGGTCGCGAGGGAGTCCGGCATACACCGCAAGTGCCTCACGGAGTGGAAAGCCCAAGCGGAGGAGCTCAAGGCTGCACACGGCGCTCGGTGTCGACTTCACGGGCGCGGAAGGTCGTCCTGGTACAGACCCATGGAGATGAAGGTGTACGCCCAACTCCTGGACTGGCGACGCCGCGGTGTGGCAGTATCTGTCGGCCGGCTGCAAGAGTGGTCTAAAGAGGTGATGAAGGTCCTGTTCCCGGACGTCAAGTGGAAGGCGAGTCAGCGCTGGACGGAGCGGTTCCGCAAGCGGTGGAATCTCACCGTGCGCATGAAAACAAAGGTGGCACAAAAGACACTGCAGCGTAAGTGCCCGTCCGTGCTCCTGTCATCCTATCTTGATTATCTTGCTTGAATCTTTGTACTTTCTTGCCCATGCATGTTTATTTGCCGCGGTGCTCATCCGCCTTTTTACCCGTCCCTCCCTCCCCTTACGCAGACGTGGCAGAGCAGTGCAAGGAGTTCTGGCAGTATGTCCGCGACGCACGCCACGAGTACGACATCGACAACCGTTACATTATCAATGCCGACCAGACGCCTTTGTGGCTGGAGATGCCGGCGACTACCACGGTGGAGCAGACGGGCGTGAAGTCGGTGCCTATCCGCAGTGGTGGATACCAGAAGGAGCGAGTCACTGTGATGCTGGCGTGCACAGCGACGGGCGAGAAGTTGAAGCCGTGGGTGTTTTTCAAGCGCAAGACCCTCCCAAAGGGAGACTTCCCGCCTGGTAAGAAGCTGAAGTCGATGCGCGTGTTCCCGAGGGGTAAATCTATATTACATTCTAACCACCGCTTGCTTGTATGCAGATGTCGTGGTCGGCTGCCAAGCTAACGGGTGGATGGAGGCCTCGGGCGTCATCGAGTGGCTCGCGAAAGGCGTGGTGCCGTTCCTGAAACCGAAGTTCGGAGTTCAGAGCCGTAGCGCCATGCTGGTGCTCGACTCCTACCGTGGTCACCTGACTCCCGAAGTCAAGGCGAAATTCGCGGAGCTCAACATCGTACCGGCGGTCATCCCGGCGGGATGCACGGCAGACCTGCAGCCGCTCGA